TAGCTAAGTTAAGTAAAAATAGAGTTTTTAAAAACATAATATAGAATTATACTTATCTAATTAGTATACTTATTATTATAGATCTAATACTAAACTAGATATTAACTTGATCTTTAGTAATTTTATTAAGTTTAATGCTATTATTAGTTTACTAGAGAGCTTGAAATTAGTTAGAACTAGTAATTAAGTATTTAGAGGCTCCGGTATTAATTATAACTTTATAAAAGTAATAAGTATTATATCTTAATATATTATTAATTATAAAAGTCTAGGTATTTTCTATTAAGGATTTAATAGGCTCTAAGATATAGTTTTCGCCTATTATCTAATATATAAGGAAAAGAGAAATAAGGTTATTTATAAGAATATTAGCTATAGTTATTAATAAAGCAGAAGTAGTAAAAGTAGCTAAAAAGCTCTTAATTAAAATAAAATAGAAATCTGGGTAGTATTTCTCTTCTTTATCTATTTCTGCTAATAAAGCCTTAAAAGTATTATTTACTAGTTTGTTCTTATTACTCTTATTATCTTCTTTGCTTTTAGCTTTAGTAATATACTATATATAAGTACTATTAAAGCATTTATTAAAGTTATAGGTATTTCGGGATCTAAATTAATAAATATTTCTATTTCTAAATCGAGCCTTCTTAGCCTCTTATTTCTCTAATATATATTTCTATAAGTAATATTCGGATTTCTTATATATAAAATATAACTTTGGGATATAATTATTATAATTACAGGGCTTAAAGTAGTTATTACGGGTTCCGAAGTTGTAGCTGGATCCGTATTAATAATTTCCGGAAGAATAATAGCTTAAAGAGTTCTGAGAGTAATATTATTAATTAGTAAAGAAGGTTTCGGGATTAGCTTATTATTTGCTCTCATATATAGTAATAAATAACTAGAGCTTATTAATAAGCTAGCCGAGATTTATAGGAGAATCTGAAATTATATATCTATATATCCGGGAGCCTTAGTAAGAGATAATAATCTTATTATAGAGGAATTTGGTATTTTATAAATTAGATATAAGACTATACTATAATTAATATAGTTTATTAATTAGTAGTTAAATAGTCTTAAATATTGTTTTTTCCGGAAATTTAGCTATTATAAAAGCTAATATAATAGTATTTCACTTATCTAAATTTTAATATTTAAATCTAGGGCCTTTAAAAAAGCTATAGATATTAATATAAGCCTCTTTATATATATATTAAGAGAGCTAGTTACTATAGAAATAGTCTTGAGTTAGTTTCTTTAGTATAATAAGAAAAGCTCGTATTAGTACCTTTTATAAAAGCTTTATATATTAGTAGATATTAAGGAAAATAGTAAGTTTATAATTAAAATTATTATTAGATCTATTATATTTTTACTCTTTAGTATAGATCTTAGTAACTTCTCTAATAAGTCTTATAGTTAAAGGGAATTAGGAATTATTTGGATATAGTTATAATAGTAATAATAGTAAAAATATATTATTTACTTCTAGAGCTTTTGTACTAGTATATAAATCTAATAGAAATATAGGATATAGTAGTAGAGGAAATAGTAGAAAAAGTAATAGTAATATAGGAATATTAAAGATAATAGGTTCTAAATACTTGTTTTTTTTATAAAAGTAATAAAGCCTAATAGGATTAGTCCCTTAATAAAATCTAGTCTAGTTATTAATATATTCTTATTTAACTATATATACTATTTATTCTCTTTTATAATAGTATATAAAGTATTTATAATAGTATTAGTACTATTATTCTATTATATAAATATACTACTATACTAAAGAATCTTATATAGGTATAGTATCTCCAGAAGTTCGAATTTATTAAAGTTCCCTTAATAGGTAAAGTCCTTAAAGTTATATCTAAATAGCTCCCAAAAATTATTATTAATTATTTTATAGAGAATATATTAAAATAGCTTAATATCTAAGAACTTAGTTATCTCATTTGCTTTAGTAAAGTTTAAATTAATTCCATATCTCTATTTTCTTACTAATTTCTTGAAATTATTATTATTTATAAAGTAATTAGATTAGATAGATCTAATAAAGAAATTATCTACTATAATATATTCTGCTATTATATATTCTATAGGCTTATACCTAGTTCGAGATATAGTAGTTTATAAAAAGAGTAGGTTTATAAGGAAAAAAATAGTTTATAAGATAAGTAGTTTATAATAGGTATTATATTTGAGGTAAAAATTTTGTCTATAATAAGAAATTTAGGAAATGAAATTTAAGGAGTAAAATATCGAGATTCCGGGAGAACTTAATAGTTCTAAAGCTTAAGAGCCCCAGGGGTTTAAAAGAAGATAGTTTTTGAGAGGGTTTTATCGGAGTTAAATAGAAATAGAATGGGATAATTAAATAGCTAACCGTTTTAGTACTTGGCAAGATTAAGTGCCCTTCCTACCTATATAACCGAATTACAAGTAATAGAACTAATAAATATTTCCCTCTTTAATATAGTATAATTAGGCCTTAGTAAGATTAAATATCTTTCCTGCCTATATAATCGAATTACAGGTAATAGAATTAATAGTTATTCCCTTTTTAACTAGAATAATAGCTTTGCCCCTAAATAACCGAATCTTAGGCAAGTATAGCTTAATTCTTCCTAATCTGTAAGTACTAACTAATTAGTATTAGTTTACTAGTAATATATGGCACTATTATATAGGTATAGAAGTACTATTTGTATAAGTTAGTAAAGTTATTATTTAGAAGTAAGGATCGCAGTATTATAGTATTAATATATAATCCCTAAATCTGCTAAGCCTAAAGGGATCTAGTCTACTAGTCGAGTCACTAATAGGACGCAAGGTTACATAATCATATCCCGTATCCCATATCCCATTGCCCATATCCCATTGCCCATGTCCCGTGCCCCGTGTCCCGTAACTACGCACGTGACTCCCAAAGGAACAGCTATACCAACAATTATATATATATTACTTAACTACTCTAATATATTCTAGAGTAGTTAAATAGTATTCTAAGTTATAAGATATAATTTCTAGTAAGCCGAATATATATAAAATATAAAGTACTACTAATTATAGTACTCCGGCCTATAGCACGAACAAGTTACCTGTATTACTCTATAATACTTTAAAAGTAATTAATTTGGATAGCAGTCATATAAATAGCGTCTCCCAGAGGGGTTCAAATTTGCTTTTTAAGAGGACCCATTCAGGCCCCCTAACGCGTATTTTTATTCTCTTTTAGTCCGGGCTTATTACAGTGGAGCAACGGTTTGTAGCGGGCCCGTGGTTCTGCCGTGGTTGCGACTTGCTGGTTACGTTCCACTGGTATAATGCACTCTGCATCGATCAGAGCAGCGTTGACGAGAGGAACCAGCTGGTGGGCATGATGGGAGATGTGTATGCGCCCACCGCCTGCGAGGGTTTGGCTTGGACGGCAATCCGAACACAATCGAAAGGTTCTGAGAACTCGCTTTCGAGCATCAGAGGATTTGCCTCTAGTTGATTTGATCCAGTACGCCTCTAAAGCGCGGGCAACAGATATCAAAGACAGGGTCTTTGGCTCCCTAGGACTTGCGAGGAAGTCTGACAGAAGGGATTCCGGTCAAGTATAATGCTTCTGTGGCAGGTTTGAAGAAGAGAGCAGTTCAGCATTGCTGCGGCCCCGATCTTTGGGTGTCGACTATAGAACCTGTCAAAATCAAGGAAATGATTGAATAACTTGGTGAGGTCGGTCGAGCTTTTGAACTGTTTCATTGCCTTGGAACTGTTTTTGGGAAGATTCGATGGCGAGGAAGCAGAAAAGCAACGAGCTCAAGTGAAGGAAGGCATTATTGCTCTTGTTATCAAAATCGACGACAGTTGTGAGTTTTCTTTTGTTCAAGCACCCGATTGCTTTATCAATTTTCATTCTCGACATGCTCACGATTCGACTAGCAATTTTATAGCTCACTCCACCACCTCAGAATACAAGTCCTAGTATCTCCCTGCCTCTAATCAAACATTTCAAATTTAATCCCAGGGCTCCGTATCGAGAGCAGAGAGCATCTTTCACCGCTGCACCTCCAGCAGGGATAACGAACCTTGAGTAAGATAACATCCTGCCGCTGTTGGTGATAGGATTTGTGTCTATTCGAGAATGTTGTACAAGAGGAGAGAAGTGGAGAAAAGAAGGGAGGAAAGAACTCCTGCCAACCAACAAACCGCGCACACTTCATCCTCCTCTTTCCAATAACGTCCCCTATCTCGTACCTCGAACCTTCTTTCCTCATTCCGAACGATTTATGCATGCATGCAAACTCCCGCCTACCCAGCACTGGCTAAATACAAGCATATCCCTTACCCGCTTGTGAGACAGTGATGAGCGCGTCTAATAAATTAACAATACACCGCCCCTTGGCCGCCCTCGTATTGTGTAAGCACGGCTCGTCAGCACGGCAGGGCTCGAAATCTCCGTCCGAGTGGGAGTTTCCCGCTGCAGGGCCATCGTGCCTATCCCAGGTTTCCCCGTCCAGACGGCCCAGGATCCGAGGATCCCAGATGAGGCATTGCTGCTCCTTTTCGGCTGTCTCTCGGCCCTGCCAAGGAAGCACAACGGAAAATCAGTGAGAAAAAGCCTCGGGATCTGAGGCGAGGCGAGGCTTCAGCTGCTGAATAGGGGGATCTGGTACAACCTGAGAAACGAGGAACTGAGGAAATTTTGGTTTTGTTTGTGGAGTGATGGTGTTTTGCGTTTTTAGGAGGGAGGGATATCGACTTTGCCGTGGCAAACTAACTACCATCCATCCATCTAGTGAAGTGAGGAAGACTACTGCGTTCTCAACTGTCTCCCATCTAATTGGTATTTCTCCATGCCTTTATGCCTCGAGAAACAAGTTGCCCAAACGCCGTGGTATGCATGCACCTTTTCCTGAACTCCTTGACCCAATCAATTCCCCCAAGCAAAGCCAAATCATCGCTCAGCAAATCAAATCAAATCAAATCACTAAATCCTCTCCCTCCCATTAAGCCTTCTCGTAAGCATCACTATCATACGAGAACCCCTCCCCTTCAACCTCCGTATCTGAATCCGCGTCTCGATATTGATCCCGTTCCGATATAAAGGAACTGCAGATGTTGAATCGAGGCGGAGGCGCAGGTTGGAGGCGAAATGGTTTCTTGACGACGTAAACCGCGTCTTCGTCCTCGAGGTAGATTGCGCCGCGTCGTTTGCGAGTTCCGCGGATTATATGTCTCCTGGCCATGAAATTAGCTCAATTCATATTTCTCTCCGAAAATTGGAGGGGAATTGGGGCGGGACGTACAAATCACCACACCTCTCACAAGCCTCCAGCGCAACCACCATGGCCAAAAACAACACCACGAGCCCTACAACCATCAAATCGCTATACTGCCTCGCCAGATACGCTCCCTGGATCTTGAAATACTGATCTCTTCCATGACCACACAACTGAATTGCTTGGGAAGGCGCGAACTCGGCGACTGTGGTGCCTTCTGCGGACTGCGATGCCCAGTACCGCTGTGCATCTTCTTTCCTTAAGTCCGGGAGCTCGGAGGTGGGTTTTGATGGGAGGGGAGTTGTGGTGTCTGGTGGCGAGCCGAGGGATAGGAGGTACGCGGAAGAGAGTGGATGTTGAGAGGAGAGCGCTCTGGTTGGTGGAGTACTGGGGGAGGGCGTGCGGACCGCGTTGTTGTAAATCTCGCTGAGGAGTTGTCCTGGTGAAGAGAGCTGGTGCGAGGGGAAGTGCGGCTCGGAGAGCTTTGTGGGTGGTGTGTTCGGCTTCGAGAGGGAATGACAGGTTGCGCTGCGGCAGTCGACGAGGATGAGTTCTTCCGTTGAGAGCGGGAGGGCGGAGGCGAGTTGCAGGAAGAAGAGGAGAGAGAGCGGTGATGTGGGCTTCATGGTGAGGTGTCGTTGTAAGAATGTATGTTACCGCGGGCGGTGGGATGTCAAGGGAAGAGGTTCCGAGGCCAGACGAGCGATTCCTTGCGTCCGGCATGCAATCCAATCCAATGCTCTTCCAATAATGCTATGAATGTCCTTGTTCCCGTACAGGCCGAATGCTTCTTCTCCAACAATGAAAGGCGACGAAAACGGTCAGGCGAGGTTGGGATGTGAGAGGTGACAGGAATGTGGAAGATCTCGGGGGGGGGGAGGGGGGAGATTCAACCTTTGAAGTTCGGAAAAGGCGTGGGACCGTGGGACGGGGCCCCTGCTGCGACTCGGGCTTGCCCATGCCCATCCATGTGCACGTTCTGGGAGTAGCACACGATGATACATCAGAGCACGACTTTGCGGTGCGCGATGACATTCAGAGACATGCTGCTGGGGTCGCATTGGGCGGGTCGAGTCTGGACTGGACGAGAGACGGAATTGCAGGGACTGGCGATCCAGGTGCGCATGGTGGCGCTAGGGGTGGTTGGCGGCAGTGAAGCCCATGTTTAGTTGTCGCCGTCGATTTTGGGCGATTTCGATTCCACACTTTGATGAATGCGGAATAGAGGCTGAACGTGCCGGCGCTCGCTCTGGAAGTCTGGGAGTCTGGAGAGAGCAAGAGACGCGAGAGGCATAGGGTGGGCGTTGATGGGCGTTGATGGGCGTCCGTTCCGCGGGGCATAAAATCAGAGACTGAGACTTCTGCGATCACGACAATCCAGCCATGGATTCGCTTGCAGCTACGAAGTGCAGTTCAGTTAGTACAAGTACAGCCACAGCAAACATCGAGGAGGCATTTCCGTGCCTCCGGATTGCTTCCTGGCTCTCGCCGCCCAGCCTCAAGTTGATGCTGGAAGCAACACTGAGGCCCACGAATAGCCTCAGATCATTTCCCCCTCCCCCGCTGCGCCGCTGGTTGTCCTACTGTATGATGGATGTACTTGTATCACTTCCTCCGGCAAAGTGCGATGCAGTGGGTGTGGGTGTGGGTGTGGGTGGGTGAAGGCTGGCGTTGCTGAACTCACACACGCCCGCAGCGCCGTTAAGGACCCCAGGGCTTGGCATTGACGCCGCAAAAGCCTAAATGCAAAAAGTTCCTCGAATCGCAAGCCCGCCTCTCCAACGTGTGCAGATAGCTCTCGCATGATTCAATAATGAATTGTGAATCGTTTGCGCGGTGAAGTCACTCCGTCGGAATATCCCCGGCTAAGAGAGTTGCTTCATCTCAACCTTTGGCAAGTGCAGACAGAATTGGTAGCGAGGTGATTGCACTATCTCGAATTCTTCCTAGAATAATAATAGTCAGCAGCTACGGAACTGTACTGTACAACAGAACCCCAGGAACGAGGCCCCCTTGCATTTCACAGCCCTGTCCCGGCAAACTCAAAACTGCCGTCCTGGTGGGGGCGGAATAGGGGACCACGCGATCCACCATCTCGATGTCTACTTGGCATCGAAACAGCCAAGTCAAACAACGACATCCACCGCACCTCTCATTGCGCCACCAGCAGATCAACCAGATCGTTGAAACAATTCAAGCTATTCGACGGTGCGGCACTTGTTCTTCGTCGTCGTCGTCGTCTGTCACTCGGCGCTGTTGCCTAGCTGGATTGAACCGGGGGCATTGCAAATTACGTGTTGGCAGCGACATTAAGTTCATTAACACGAGAAAACAATCCTGCGTGTAGGCTTGGCATCTGTTCATTCCGCATCTAATGCCTCACTCCTTCCCCTTTGGTGCTCGCCTGTTTCAGTGAAATCTTCTCTTCTCCGCAGGGCTGAGTTCCACCGCCTCAGCGTCAGCAAGCATCGTGAGCTGCGAGTATCAATCCGGCGGAGAGGTGCCCACCTTAGTCTGGCATAACCAGACGAGTGTTTCTTATCGTGAGGTGGTAGGTACTGAAACTATTCCAACACTGCCAAGAAGGGGGATCTTCACTGGGTTGGTGACATCGTCCGTGAGCTTCTGGGTTTCAGGATTGCACATCTCACGTGATGCGGATCTACATTGCAGGTTTCAGATGTCCATGGCGAAAGATATCCGGTGGACTTCGACTGACCAGGAAGCTTACTGCGGATCTCCCTCTCGACGAATAGCGAAGCATAGATCTGAAGTGAGACTACCATCAGCCTCACACCTCCACAGAATATGTTGCCATTCTTAGCATCTTGACATTGAACACATGCAGGTTTTACATTTTAAAATTGAAGGGAACAGAATATCATACTATTTTCTGATCGGCAACTTAGCTCGGGACTCCTTCCTGGGGTCGGATACTTTGGCTAATTCTCCCTACCCTCCCAATAATCTCCCATTATCCGAACCCCCAGGGGATGGGAAAGAGGGAAAGTTGAATCTAATGTCACGTGATAAACTTCGAATATTCTTCCCACGGATAGGAAGGGAAGTTGTCCCGACAACTGAGAATAATGTCAAAAATTTCACGTCTTCTTCTCGAGACATTTACCTATGCTTCTCTGTTTCAATTGCAGTTCCAAGTAACGTGTTCAGCCTCGTCTACGTTGGCCGAAGCGAGCACTAACGCAAAGATGTCAAGCAATTACGAGGCTGAGAACACGAATCTCAAATTCATCCTCGCATGCCAACTCCCACTTCAATATGGTGCCCAACCCGGCGCCCCCGCCGTCTGCGACGATAACAGAGCCCCTTCCACCTTTAACGCGAAGTACGACACTCCCTCTGTACTCCTACAGACCGATCACGACCGATCGTACCCTTCTCGCACCTGAAGATGCCATCTATCAAGGTTCACCACCGCGCAAGCAATCTCCGGCCGTCGCGAAGGCGGCAAGGGATCTGCATATGACCAATGGGCCAAACGGGACTGCACGAGTATCTGGAAGAACGCGACATAAGGATAGACCGCGTAGTGGGAGCCGGAGGAGGAAAGGGACGTGGAAGAAGCTGTTATGGGTGAACCAATCTTGTACGCTCTACTTCAGCCTCCAATGGACTCTACTGATGTAACAAAGACCCGGATAATTATACCGATCAAGAAACCTTCCTCGAACATCTCCAACGAAATCCCCGTCTCCAACCCTACGACTTCTGGCCTCTTGTCGCCGACTCCACAATCATAGTCCAACACGTCTGCTCCGTCATAATCTTCGTCGTCTGCTTCGTCGGCATCTTCCAAGAACGCGTCTCCCCCGTCGCAATTGTAGGCTGGGGCAGCATTGCCACATTTCTAGGCTGGTTTTTATGGGACTGGTGGGTCGGACAAGAAGAATCCACAAAGCCCAGCACAACCCCAGTCTCCACCTCCACGCCCCTCGACGCCTCAGCCTCGAGCTCTGTCTCAAACCTCCTCAATTCCAACGGAAATGGACATGCCAATGGCCTCTCATCAAAGCATTCCCACTCTGCATCCGTCTCTTCCCTCTATTCAAGCACCTCAAACGGACACTCCACAAATGGGCACTCCAAGCCCCCAACCCCGCCGCCCAATCACCCCAATCACCCGTCTCCCAACTCCTCCCTTTTATCCCACCGCACCTCACTGCGCCTCTCAACTGCAAAATCCGCACTACTAATCTACTTCACCCTCCTTGGCCTCTCTCCTATCCTCAAATCCCTGACCAGATCAACGTCCTCGGATTCAATTTGGACAATGTCCCTCCTACTCTTCGCAATCAACATCTTCTTCTTTGACTACGGGTCCCCGCCGAGCCGGTCCTCTGTTGGCGGAGGGAGTAAGAATATACCTGCGAGCTTGAGCACGAATGCTGCGCTGATGGCGAGTACCGTGCTTGCTAGCCGGTTGCCATCAACGGGGCAAGTCTTCTCCCTCACTCTATTTTCAATCGAAGTCTTCGGCCTGTTCCCCGTTTTCCGTCGCTATGCCCGGCAACGTTCATGGCGCGGTCACGTCACCCTGACATCCTTCTTAGTCGCCGGAGCGGGAGGGGGTGTAGGGCTGATATTAGGGCACGGAGGAGATGGGAACGGGTACTTCGACTGGCCGTGGAAATCCGGCCTCCTGGGTGGGATTATCGGTGTTTTGGTTACTGGGCTCGTGATGGGAGGGTGCAGTTGGTGGTTGATTGGGCTGCAGAAGTATAAGAATGAGATTCATGGCCCATGGGATCCCGCACGGCCGGTTATTAGGAGAGACGATTACTGATTATTGGGGTAATCTCATCGAATCTAAACCTCCCTTCCTTCTAACGTGGTTAGTCACCATCGCCGCTTTGCTCAAGCGCTACTCACCTTCGCCTTAACCTCTACTCAGGTTACTCAGTCACGTTCCTGCTCTCCCTTCTATGAATCAATCATGATTTACCTTTCTATTCGACTCTGCCGTGCGAAAGTTGTCAACTCTATACGATTAAATCCAGGGAGACCAAGTCGGCTCCCAAGGAGCCCAACCCCCGCCTAAAAATACATTCATCCATTTCTCAAGGCAGATTGTTCTCGCAAGATGGCAATATCTCGCGCCACCTCCCTCCCAAATCTCTACTCTTCCGTATACCTTCTTCCACCAGACTCTTCTCCATCCGCCCCTCCCACTTTCTGTGCTAACCTTAACCCCCTCAATACGACGAAATCTGTCAGTTGCCATACCCGTGATTCACCCCTTTTCGTTAGCTCAGCTGCAGAGACATATAAACCCTCCGCTGAACCGCCCCTCTTGTAATCTTAATTCAGACATCTCAATCTACATCAACTTTCCCCTCATATTTTGAAACTTAATTATATGCCAAACATTGCCTTGTTCATGCAATTGTCAAAATTCTGTGCTAGGAACGGAATGCGATATCCGTTGGACCTTGAACGAGGGTGGGAAGAATTCACAGAGACGAAGGAGCGCGGAAATAGGAAGGCGCAGTTAGGGAATCGTGTTTGGTCTTGGGCTGGCCACTGCGTTGCAGCGTTGGTTATGGGAGGTGTTTGGATGGCAAGTTCTTGTTTTTGATTCCTTACTAGCTCGTACGTTTTTCAGGCTAAAAAGGGAGTTTCACGCGCCTCAGGCTATAATATATACAAAGGCGGTCTCACCGATAGTGCTTCGTAGGTGGGGTAATGTCCAAGAAAGGAGGACACCGGCCACTTTATCTCTTATATACTATGCCTGGCTAGGTAGCCACCTAACTAGGGAATTAAACTTATTCAAGCTACTCTCCTCCTCCAAGAGGCTCTTCCCTTACTCATACTTAGAGATACTATATGAAATATAGAGTACTCCCTTAAGTTATTCTCAAAAATACTATTTATAGCAAATTTCCATTAATACTTTATGTTACTATTTATAATAATTCTGAGCTTTGTATGCCTCAATTACTACTCGTAAATATAGATATTTGTTCGGGCATATCCCTCTAATTCGAAGATTTGAAACTATTTCCCTTTTGAGAGGTACTCGCTAGTAGGCTATTTTAGCTAAAAAGAGAGGGCTCTAGTAAGAGGTTGAGAGATATTATGGAAAGAGCGCCCGGTGCGCGAGCGAGGGTGGTATTAAAGAAGGATCTCGAGATTAGGTCGTGTCGTTGTCGATTCGAGACGACGCAGTCGAATTGCATCATTCAAGGAGCGTCGTTTTTTGTAACTCAATCTTTGTCCTATAGCCTATCCTCAGAAAGCAATAGGTTTCTAGTCTGCACCGCGAGGAGGTGTTGAGTCGTCACAGACCTGTGAGGTGTTTGAATTTGGTTAGGTTCTGTCAATAAACTCTTGGATGTGCCACGCAGCGACCCAGCTAAAATTTAAAGCTTTTTAGTGGGGACAGGTCCGACAGGTCACGCAATTCGATTTTCAGTCGAGCCATGTTTCAAGGATATTCTTTCAGTCTTGGTTTACTCCATAAATCAACATCCAGTGACGTGATTACAATTACGAAGAAATCCATGATAAGTTAAGGAAGTCAGTGAAAATTTATGTCCAGAACTTCTGACCCTGTCTTCCAAGGTCCTCTTTGACGGCTCTATCCCGAAGATCCTGCTCCCCTAAAGTCTCATCCTTGGAGATGGTATCCCTGAGACTCGCCACTGATCCTGTTGTAATATATAAGACGTGTAGATTATTGTGCCGGAGCACTTCGAGCAGCTTCCGCATATTGTTTCGCGTACTAGTGTGCTCCAGCCATTGCAGCCCATCCAATATGCAAAACACAGGCTGGGTTATGTGGCTGACTAAATCCTCAAGGATCAAGAGGGCATCTTTGCACGCCCTCTTTGTTCCATCGAGGCGCTGAAATCGGCTTTTCGTCAAATCAATGTCCTCTACAAGTGGTAGTGAAAGTATCTCGAGAATCTGCTTTATGAGGGCATACAGGACAGCGGTCAGCGCTCCCATCTCAGCTGTCTCATTCAGTTTGAGGCTCTTTGCCGGGCTGAGCTGGCAGAAGAATGATATCATCGGAAAGTTGGGACGATGTTCATACGCAAGATTCACTAACTTGAGTCCAATTCTCGTCATATTGTTTTCTGAATCGCGAGTCGCCGTGTAAGGGCCCTTAATCCACAGAGTCTGTGAAGACGGACTTGCTCGGCTCCATCGGAGAAGGCGGTCCAAAGTCTGCTTGTTCACCCTGGGAGGCTTGATAATTTGACCAGATAAGAGAATGCGATCGCGGGAGAAGAAGTCTTCGAGGCAGCGAGAATTAGCCATAACTTCATCGAATGTCCAGCGACGCCTTTCTAGATATATGTTAGCAAAGTGCTAGAGTCTAAAACTGGATGAGGTCCAGTTTGCATATCGGATTACTTGTACCCGTAACCATTGGAGGGGTGTTCTCCCTAGTCTCAATTCCAATACCAAGAGCTTGAAGAGGATTGGGCAAGGAATCTGGAGTATACTGCAGTTGCGAGTTCCTTGACGCTACTCCAACTTTTTCGCACTTGATTTCAATTCTGTCACACTTGTTTGATATGCGGAGGAGTTCTTCCTGAATCAGCTTTTGACCACCATCCATTTTGCGATCCATGTCAAACAGTTTCTCGCTATATAGCGTTAGCGATTCCACCAAACATAGGAAAGGATCATAGAGAGAAACGCACCTGTGCTCTATTGTGATGATTGTACTCAGGGAGCTCGAGTACCCTTGCAATCTCGCTTGGAAGTCCGTCCATTCCTTCTCTTTGAACAAAGACTTTCCCGACCTCCGCAGCTTTAGCTCCATCTTATCAGTTGCCTTGAAGTTGCATTTGTCTAGTTCCTGGGCCATCCTCGTCACATCGTCGTGGCATGACTTCAACATGTCGCTCAATACTACATCTTGGCTCTCCTTTACCGCAGGATTGTTGCTGAGTCGCTCCAAAATATGCAATAAATTCTGCACATTTTTGACAATGTACGAGACTGTTTGGGGCCCATCTTTGATAGATGAGAATGTTTGGCGGATGAATGCCAATCCAATGATGGTGAACTGAATCAGCGAGACCGCGTTCGAGGCAACATCCATGGTGTTGTGTTTCGAACTTTACATTGCACAGTTGCGATGAATTGAATATGAAAATGGAAAGAGTTAGCCTGCCTCGCTGCATAAGGGTATCTCGTTGTTGGGCCGTCATGGGCTGCCTCGGAGGCGGCACAGGCAGACCGGAGTATGCCTCACTGAAGCGAGGCCTTTGTTTGCATTAGGTGTGCTGCGGCAGAATCATTTTGGAGGCTGTACATTTCTTCATTTCATTCGTCCAGAACGCTACAAGGTTGGCTTACAAACACAGAATGCCCAAATTAGCGGGCTTCAGTGAGAGCTCTGAGTGGTGCGACTCTGCTGTATGCAGAATAAGCTTGAAGCAGACATTCCAGGCAGATCGAAAGGCTTATTAGACAAAAGTGGCAGCCTGGACCAGCTGGTTCATGTCTCGCACATTGTATGGAAATATTCCTCCTCGTTTTCCAGATTTACTGGAATTTATTACCCGCAGACACCACACCTCAATGCGCCATCTCCTTGTGCAATTTTTGACAAGGAGACTTGAGATATATCGCATTCTTCAATCACTTTACTGCCAAATACACAATACACCCCTGTATGCAACAAAGGTTTTGCATGAATCATGCATACGGCCAACAGTGACAATTCCTCGCCGCAACAGCCGGCTGAGTTAGGCGAGGGCAACGAGTCTGGGGAGTCCCTTAAAGCTAGAGTCAACGCAACGAAGAATACAGAGATCAATTCGACCGAATCCTCCAAGTTGGACCAGAGTGAGGCTTGGATCAAGTATTCCATCGAATGGCGAGACCTGAAGGATGAGTTCAAGTCTCGACATGAGGTAACCAAGGACGATTTCGACATGTCGAATCCAAGACGCGGTAGCAGCCGTCCCGCTTTTGAACGTGTCGCTGTTTACCGGATAAAATCGTCGCCAAATACAGTGTCGAGTTTGCACTCTGGAGAAAGAGGTCAAGACGAAGCTCGGCCAATACCGGGCTGGTTACCGAGCTACTACATTCGAATCTATTCAGTGGCAATAATAAACGCTCTACGGTCTGTTGTCCAGTACTACCCTGGGCAGGATCTGAGCGGCGACTTTATTCAGATTGGGTGGCCGTACCCAGTTCTTGTGCACCACTACAGCCAATTGTGGAGCTTTCGAGAAGCGGTTGCAAAGAAAGAGCCTCATAGGCTATGCGTCCGTGAAAGAGATGTTGACAAGCACCTCGAACTTTTATTCGGCTTCTTGGACACGGAAGTAATGGAAGGCGTGAAGGCTGAACAGGAGCGCAACAGTAGAGGCTGTTTTACTTTCGATTATTTGTGGGTCGCATTGGAACCTGGCAAGACAATTTTCTATAGCACTAGAGAAAGTGAAGAGGGGTTATTTCAGCATGGGGTTATTCACTCCGCCTCAGGCGGCATTTTTGGGCAATCGCAGGGACAATGGACCATCAGATTGTGGTCAATGGAATATGACGGGTTGTACTTGGGTCGTGTGCTAAAATTTTATATTTGGAATAAGTTTGACGGAGAGAGCACAGACTTTAAGAATAAGGTCATTTTTATAAATGACGAAGATCTCGCGGATGCCAATAAGGACGAAAGACTCAGGACAGCAGTCGAACAAGGCAAGAGCTACTGGAATTTAGTTAGTAAGCGGTGCAGATATCATCAAGGTACCACAGCGTAATTTCCAACGAATGAGGTGAGTAAGAAGATTTAAACCTTTCCTATTCCGAGCTAACAAGTTACCAGGTCGAGGGTATGGTAATGGTCGATCTGAACAGTTTTTATTCTGAGACAAGGAGGAAGACTGCCAAGGGACCGCCCCGTAGCCCTTTTGAACCTCCGATTCCCAATTTGATGGATAAAAGCGATCACAGGGACTTCGCATCGGACTGTCCATGTCATATATGCAGTAAAAATGAGAATGAGAAAGTACAGAAGACAGCAATTTTCGACCGATATGACTTCATCACTCCGAAAGACCAACCGACACTAACCAATCACCAATATTTCCTATGTGCGAAGCAAATTCATGCATTCGTCTTCAAGACCAGGACGTGGGGTAAGCGGGAATTTACCAGTATTTTTTCTGCGCAAGCTAACCGTATCATAGAAAAAGTCCATGTAAGAAACCTCTCGCCGCCCAGGTTCTATAAAGACATGATCGATAGTCTTGTCATGGATAATGACCGATTGAAGACTCTCAAGTCATTGACAGGAAGCTTGTCAAGACTGAACCGTCATGGACGGGTGCTATTAGAAAAGCCGTGGGCAGCTGACTACGTCGACGGGAAAAGAAATGGGTTGATATTCTTGCTGCATGGCGGACCCGGTGTGGGGAAGACATTCACCGCTGGTAAGCCCTGCCCTCATCTAGGATCGCTGTGCCTATCAGACTAATAGACAATCCAGAGTGTATTGCCAACTTTCTGGAAAGACCTCTTATGGTTCTCACAACCACCGATATTGGCACCAATCCAGAGGATGTAGAGGAAAATCTGACTCGAAACTTTAAAGCCGCGAGAAATTGGAACGCAGTTCTTTTGATTGACGAAGCAGACGTCTTTGTGGCGAATCGCACAATCGAAGACCTTCACCGAAGTAGCCTAGTTGCAAGTATGCCAAAAAACCTCTCTGAAATTGAAATCAGTGATCTTGCATCAAGGCCTGCTAGATCAACTTTAGCTAATTGTCGCTCAGGCTTTCTGCATGCTCTCGAGTTCTACGATGGTCTTCTTTTCCTTACAACCAACAGGGTGGGCACGTTCGACGATGCGATTATGTCGCGAGTGCACATCCAGATGTTCTACCCTGACCTAAAATCTGAGCAGCGCTACACTGTGTGGAACAACTTCATCCATAAGTTGGAAGCTGAGAGGCCTTCGATGCAGGTGAAGTACGCTGTGAAGGAGTACCTGCGCTCCAGCGAGATGAAAGACTTTGAAATGAATGGCAGGGAAATCAGAAATGGTGAGAATATCAGCTAAAATTATATTGGAAGAACTGCACTGACGGGTATTCAGCTTTCCAGACCGCCGTTGCACTGGCTGAACATGGCGCGGAGGAAGGTGAAGGCGGCAAGACGCTCTTGACAGAAGAGCATCTCAGGGAAGTGATTGAGCTAAGCAGATCTTTCAAAAAGTACTTCTCCGACCTACATGGGTCCGAGGGCAAGCGTGCCTACATTCGAGGAGAGCGGCTAGATTCGTTGATCAAGGCGCTTGAACAAGACTACTAGAGTTAATTGTAACGAATATAAATATTATTGGAATTGTATACGCTATAAATTATATGACGAAGTAGTTTGTATACTGGGTGTATATAGACTTCGGCTTAACCCTCCTGCCTTTAACATTAATTAAAGGGTGCTCCGAAGGTTTTTTACCTCTATGTCGGGGGAAATGTAAAACGACCCTCCCCTAGGTGTCGATCGGGGGTGTCGATTGGGGGCCAGACTAACCTAAAGTAAAGAAATACCAAAAAATCTAGCTTTCCTTTAAGTTTAACTTACTATATAAAGAATTATTATAATTTAATTATTTTCTTATATTATAGAAGGCCTAATTATAAGCTAATAGGATATGAAATTTTTATTATATAATAATTAGTAGATTTAAGAAAGTTGAAAGAAGATAAGAAAAGTTAGAATTTTTAAGGCCTCAAGAGAGCCTGAAAATCTAGCGATTAAGCACCTGGAACTTATTTACTTCATATGCAATAATTGCCTCGCTTATCCCATGCCCCAAAACTAGAGCTCTTATACAAACTTCCCTATTACTATATTAAAGAATCTAATTTAAGAAAAAGGCTTAAGTAAGAATAAACAACTAATTAGGCATTATTAAAACTCTAAAATCCATTAATACGCCTAATCGACACCCGGGGGTGTCGTTTTACATTTTCTCCATTCTTCTGGTATCAATCTTGAAGAACGTGCATGAGTAGCGATAAAACCTTGATCCTCTATTGGACGATTAGTATTATGACCGGGTAAGCGAGCCGTCCCGCTCCGGGGAAGCCCAATCCGGTGCCGCGGGTGCTGCTTGTGGCGCCGGTTCAGTGCGGATTGTAGATCCTGCGGGGTTGCGGTGAGGGGAATCGTGCCATATTTTGAAATCGCGATTGGCTTTCCCCTCCGCTGTCATCTTGCCACGGAGGAAGTGACTTGTCGACCCTGTTTGCAGGGCCCGGTACCTGGGGACTTTGAATGCTTGTTCCCTACCTGCCAGGCGGCCAAGCTCATTATTGTTTAATCCTATCTTCGTTTTATACTTTAATTCGGGGCCTAGCTCGACGTACTATACTTCCTAAGTGCTTTAACTTAGGGGATTTTAAAAACGATTGTAGGATAAATTCTACAGATAAACTGGATTTAGCAAACGGGACCTGGGGTTATTCTATTGGTATATTGACTTATCTTGAACAAACCACCGATTTCCGCGCAATTATCTTCAACCACCTCATGCAAATTTCTACTTCACAATAACTAGCACTCCATAATTGGGGATAGTCTTGTAAGTCTCCAGCTCAGCCAAACCCGCACCCCCCGGCCCTTCCCCCTTCAAGTACCTCTCTGGTACTTTCGTAACACCCCACTCCAGTTTGCCCTTCAACCCCGCCTCTCTCGCCGCCTCCTCATACAATTCCTTCTTCAGATGGTAGCATTCAAAGTTCAGCTCTCCAACAGGCGTATCAGCATGTAAGCGGAAATAAACCCCATCCTCGACGTCCCTGATATAGTGGTAGGTCAGATATCCAGTCCCCGCGGGCGGGGGACGAGCGTTTGCCTCCGCATTGAGCGAATCTATCGGGTTCGACGAAGGCGGAACCGTGACTGAAACAAAACGCCCCCCGTCCTTGAGATTCATGGCGATGTTGCGAAACATGTTGACCAGACCCGCGCGATCGGGGGCGTAGTTGAGGAGCCAGGCGCCGAAGACGAGGTCAAACGGCCCGCCATCGTAGGCTTGCGGGATCGAACAGTCGGCTTGGATAAATGATACCTCTTTCCCTACGCGCCGCGCTTCGTCTATCATGACGGAGGAAATGTCTACCCCAAGGACAGAGCTTGCTCCCCATGCCAGGAAACTGTAGGTGTAGAAGCCTGATCCGCATGCGAGCTCGAGAATTCGAGCTTTTTCGATAAAAGGCGCTACAGTTTCATGCACATTCTCGCGCTCGATGAAGGCAATCGATGTTGTACGGATGTAATCGTAGGGTCCTTGAATGGTATCATACTGCTGCTTTGTAGCTGCCATATTTGCTGGATATATGGTCTGGAGAGAGTCCTGGAAGACGGGTCAAAGAGTGAAGTGTGGGTTAGCGAAAGGAGTATGCTTCTTGTGCGGGGTACGAGTAAAAGAAGGCTTCCTGCTTCCACAAGGCAGGAAGGCAGTTTGGCCGAAAAGGCTTGGCCGAATCTTGTCACGTTTTTGGCCCTTTCAAGCCTAGCGCGTAGCTAACGTGAGCACATATGTAGTATGTGTCTGCTTGGGCGGGAATTTTCACATTGTGGTCGAGGTACATTCTTCCAGCATGGCTAGTACTTTACATTTTCCATTGATTTGTTTTCTCGATATTCGTTCTTTCATCTTCCCATACAAACTGTCGATTTCTCCATTGTCGTCTCGTGCCTGATCATCACAATGTTGTCGGATTCTCGAACTTCTACTCTCCGTATCCTCAGTGGGATTGACCTTCCTGGAGGCAAGAATGAGAAGAGTTATCCTCGCGGTTGGCTTTGCATAAGAGCCGCGGTTAAATGGATTGCCTTCGTTCTATTCAAGCCTGGACAATGAGACGGAGTTTCAAGGGCTATCATTGCATGTCTCGAGACATTGCTGTTCGGAGCTATGGTAGCTTTTTTCTGTTGTTCCAGCTAATTACTGGACGTTACGGGAGAGCTGATTTTAATGTGCTATGTTAATCTTGGTTTCGGTTACAATGTACATGGTTCGAGTAGGACTTTTGAGGCTAGTTGCCTCTATTCTTCCAGGCATGATTTGAGTGTTCAAGAAGTATTTGAAAAGTCGTAACCGTAATCTCATGTTTCAATACACATTACACCCACGGGGTATGACTCAACCCGGGTATCTTGCGTTGTTCCAGCTGAGGTCAGCATATTGAGAGAGGGTTGATTCCGACAGTTCATGCTGATCTTTGCTCTTCCTTGCATTTCATTGTTCGAAGCTCAAGTGGGACATTTGAGGCCGCGCTTCTTTCATTCTTCTAGCAAAGGTCTGGACATTCAAGATGCATGCCACCACAAGTTCGTTCATTGATGTTCAGTGCCTACGTGGGACATCGAGGTGCAGGATGGTTGCATTTTCCAACAAGGTCGGGACGTTGAAAATATACTGGCTGCCACAGATTTTCCCCCTTGATCTCCAATTCCTAAATGGGAAAATGAGAGGTGGGCTGTTTTCATTGTTCCATTGGCTATTCGTTCTATGAAATAAACGCGTTTCTATTGTTCAGCGCATGCGTGATACATCTACAATTCCTCAGTTCTTGTCATCGCCGGCACCAGGTTCCTTCGCATCTGCCTCATCAACGATCTCAATCTTGCCTCCAACGCGTCCTCTGACGTTGCACAGACTGACAATTTTGGCCTTAAGTTGTTCGATTTCCTCCCTCGTACCCACGGTCTTGACGCCATAATCGCCCTCTTCCGCCCAATCTTCATATTCGAATCTGATTTCGGCCTTGCTGCCAACATCTTCTGCATACTTTCTCGTTCCCTTGATGATTCTTCGAAGTTGAGCCTTGGCCGTCAATCTGAGGAATATGATATCGCACTTCGTCGAGGAGAGAGAGTGTAAGGCAAGATTAACCCAGTGGAAGTCCGGCTTCTCGTCTCCCAGCCAGCCGTTCGTTTCAGAAAGCACAACTTTGCCAGCGCTAATCTCGTCCTTGAGGCCTGTAACGAACTTCTGGCCTCCGCTAGGTTCATACGGCGCTGCTTGAAACCCGACGTTCTCGTCTAGGGACTCGCATCTTGTGAGAAAGTCCGGTTCATCAACCCAGAACACGTCTTTGAGTCCTTTGCAGCCTGGCAAGCGCCCGTCTTCCTTCCCGACCGTTGTATGTAACCTTTGCGGGAGAGTGCCGTGTCCGTGAAGTACGTTTGTGATTCGATGGACTGGTGACATGGCGAAAGGAATATTGGGATCGAACCAGACAGCACAGCAGTCATAGCCAGAGTCCGAGTTCTCCGAGATAGTGATGGCGATGCGAGAGATTTGAAATCCTAGTTGACAGATATGGTTGATCTTTCGAGTGCAAGTGTTCTTGCCGAAGTAGATAATGTCTGCATTGGGGTTGTAGTAGACCCAGCGATGCCAGGGCACAGTGTTGTTCTTCAGGTGCATGACGGGGATGAAGGCATCGAATCTGGCCATGATGTACAACTTCATACACTCGTTTCGGCTCTCTTTGCAAACTCGGAGAATGGTAGGGGATCGGCGGGATGAACGGCAGACTGTTACATCCCAGTGCTGACGAGCCCATGTTGTAGATTGTTCAATCTCAATAAGCCGACCTTGATTTGCGCTCGTCCTCCAGATCCTGAGACGAACCTCGATCGGCAGCTTCGGGAAGAGGGTGAAAGTCGGATGGCTGGTTATAGTGTCAGCTGGAGTTGAGTGGATAGTTAAAGAGTTGGGAACGAAAGGAATAATAGGAAGGTTGAAGTGTTCCTCAAGATATCAAACAACAAATTCTCATTACCTAATTCTGCGCACTTCAGAACAGGGAAAAGTTTATAGCTGAAGGTGAGTCTAAAGACATCCACCAAAATGAAAAGCTTAGTGAAGCTATATGTTTGGAAGTAAAATAGAAGGGAGAGATTTTGATCTCAAATGTAGTTGAGGGTTTGATTTGAGTGGAAGGGCCAGCCCCTGCGGCCGCGTCCTCGCTTCGACTGATTATCTTCGTAGCGAGGGCAGCAAGGGAAAGGAGAACAGTTTGTCTAAGGAAATACCCAAAGGCGATCGCTTAGAAAACAAAGGGGCAAACCCCTGCGGCCGCGCCGGACTATCTTCGTAGCGAGGGCAGTGTGGGAAAGGGGAGGAGAACAGTATTGTCTGTAGAAACATGCAAAGACATGGGACAGAGAAAGAGGTATAAGTAAGTGAGGGATCGTATTTGTAAGGAAGATATAGACAAAAGTGGAAATTGAAGTAGAGTCTATGGGGTAATAGTGAGAGGGGAAGGTGAATCTGCGAGGAAGAAACTCACAACAAGCAGAATGTGAAGGTATTATCCATCTTAAACTGAGACGAGCAAGAAGTGAAGCGCATAATCCGTGAAAGAGAAGTGAAAGGGTAGCAAGCCCCCTATGGCAGTGTCCTTTCAGGTGTGAAGGAGAGGAGGTGCGACCGGGATATCTCTGTGACAAGCGAGCCCCTGCGGCCGCGTCTTTTCAGGTGTGAATGAGAGAAGGTGCAAGCAGGATATCTCTGTGACAAGCGAGCCCCTGCGGCCGCGTCTTTTCAGGTGTGAAGGAGAGAAGGTGCAACCAGGATATCTTCGCGACAAGCGAGCCCCTGCGGCCGCATCGTAACTCGTCTAAAGGAAAGGGGGTTCTTTGTGCTAAGATAAGGGAGTTTAGAGCAAAAAAGAGGGGGAAAGTGAGGTGAGATAGGTATTATTTGTAAGAACTTCCACAATATAAATGGAAAGCAAACGGATTTTCTGTCCTTAGCCAAGAAGTGAGGAGAAGGTGAAGGATATTATTTGTAAAAGAGAATGTAAACACGGCGGAAAGTAAACGCATACTGCACTTGCCTTGTCCGCAATTAAGTAAAGAAGATGAACCAAAAGTGAGCCCAAACTACGACATCTCGTCCGGAATCGAATAAAGAAGGATGGGCCGAAAGTGGAGTCTTTCTGCGTCTCTACTGAAAAAACGGGCCGAAAGTAGACTGAAACAAGATAAACAAAGTTTACCTTTCATCGCCGTTCTTGCTCTCGTCCCGCTCCAAGGAAGCCTTTGCTGCTGCTGCTGCTGCTGCCTCCATGCCTGCGCTTGTTGTGGTTGTGTTTGTGGTTGTGGTGTGGTGTCGAGGAAAGATGGAAATTGAAGAGGAAGGGAGGGAGGAGGGAGGAGGGAGGAGGGAGGAAGCTCGGCGGGTGGGAGGAAATAGATAGATGTGGGGTGTTGTCGGAGCGGGTGAATTTTAATCCGAAGGGAATAGCCGAGGCTCGCTTACGAAACGAGGGGTGAGCCCCTGCGGCCGCATCGCTTCGGCGGCTTCACTCCGGCTTCACTCCGGCATTAGAGAGAGGGGGTAGGCAGAATATCAAGGGGATGGAAATGATTTGTCCTGCAGCTGTGTAGTGGATCTCTTGTGCTGCTGGCAAAGAAGTGCAGACAGTAATGTCCCTGGAAAGCTCGGGGTATTTGTTTACAGAGATTCAGGCAAAGTGAAGAAAAATGGAGTTATCTCGAAGTTAGGTTCTATGTTCGTGGATTTCAGTCGCGGTTGAATGTCCTCCCTCATAGGACTATGAACAGGATAATTCCTAATTATTTTACGATAAATTTGTAGACTTTAGCTATGTTGGATATTCTTGATATTGTGGCACAATGAACTGGAGGAATCTGGAGGACTTCGAAGCATGTATTTTGAGGATAAGACTGTGGATATTATGCTCATTTAGTTGATCTTGATCTTGTGGATCAATGAACTGAGCGATGGCTGCCAATTTCCTGGCTCTAATATCCTTGATCTCGTCACGCAAACGGCCTAAGCTTAGCTGCGAATTTCCGTTAATGATTATTCCTAAGCTTGATGGACAACGAACTGGATAACCTGGAAGCCTTCTGGGATAGATTTGTGGATTTCAAGTCAGTTTTAATGTGCTTGAACTTGTAGAACACTGAACCAGACCTGGGCTGCAGATGCCCGGCCTATCGTCCCTGATCTTATGGATCAAGGGGCTGCACCATGGCTGGTTTCTATTGCTGAATATATATGGGCCGCGGGGACAATAAGGCTTGAAACCGAGCGTAGATAAGTGCTTGGTTAAAGGCAGCAAGTGTTTCTAGAAGCGCTTTCACTAGCGAGCAATTGACAAAAACTCCGATCTCGTCAATTTGACTTTCAACCTCCTACGCCACAACCACAGCCGCCAGTCCACCATCAACGTGGAATTTATTATGCAAAGTTCTCAAGAATATTAAACCCTGGTAAGTTCAATGTTTTGGCGGTTTTGGTGCATTGCCCCTTCGACCTCTGCTGATAGCACAATTCCAGCACATTTCGATCTCCCTCTGCCTGAAATGGCACGTTGTACAGTCTGCTTTGCGGAAGGCGCGAAAAAGTGCCGCGACTGTAAATCAATTTTCTACTGTCCCGACAACTGTAAGAAGTCCGACGGCTACTTGCATAAGTGTGGCAAGTTCACCATATTTGCCACTCAACATCCTCGGCCATCTAACGAAGCGCTTCTAGTCATCAAGCTCGAGATCGATTCCCATTTCCCGAAACTTGATTGGGTTCAAGGAGGAGCGGCCTGGAACATGCAAATTGTAAAGCAAGGAAATGAATTCAACAACCCGAGCAAGATCGACTATATTGACGTTGAGGAGCCTCGATTGGTGGCGGAGAAGAGAATCCACGAGCACGCAATCCCTTCTCTTACGAACCTCGAGGATACTGTAGCAATCCACTACCTCGACACTTCAAAGGACAGAAGCCAAACTTGTGCGTCTCGAAGCCCACAAGGGATAGCAAACATACGGTTGGTGTGGACAAATGGTTATCTTGAGCTGGCCCGGATTGGCCTCGGAGGCTGCTGTGTACAAGGATGTCATAGCCGCTGATCTTCACTTTGCTGCGGACTTCTTCAAGTCATTCGGTGGGAGCAAAGGGGCAGTACTGGCCGAGGATTATCGGGCCGCCATGTTAGCTAGCGAAGGGGATACATTCATGCAGGGTGCACCTAAGTATTCTCTCGCCGTAGTCTCAAACGGACACCCACTCTTCCGCGGCAAAGCAACCCCAATCTCGACAGAAGTCAAGGTTCCGATGGTCACATGCGGATACAATACAACCCTTACAACCCTCTCTTCCTCCACGCCAGACAAGGAATGGAGCCCCCATAGAAATCCCTCAGCGCTGGCTATGAATCTGGATATTAGCACCTTGAGCAAGAATTGGGTTTGTGTGGACAAGACGGTCTGGCCTAAGAACAGTGTGGGATATATTCTGGTGGGCAAAGAGGACGGCCGGGGCGTTACTGAGAAACATCTTGAGGTTATAGCTGAGTTCTGCATCCGCATTCAACATCTCTTTTTGGGGGAAATGAAGGAGGAGTTGGGATTGGAAGGAGGGGAGAAAAGTGCAACGAGGTTGAGGTTTGTGCAGGAACATGTGAATAAGAAGAAATTTGAGAAGTTCTTCAAGGTGTATAAGGAGAAGAGATCTCAGAACGGAGATAGATCCTGGGACAAGACGGTTTGTCCATCCTGAGTCTAGACTGGGAGGAGTGCTTTTGATACTGGATGCAACCGGTGGCTTTGGGGATCTGGATGGAGATGCTTGCGAAATGTTGTGGGGGAGAAAGGACATACTCCTCTTGAACATGATCTTTGCCATCATGTCACAAAGATCGGAACTCGTTCATGAACTCTGCTGCATTTCCACAAGTGATTGTCCAAACTATCTCCGTGGCCGCTTATTCTTGGCTTGTCTTCCCCCCCCCCTCGTAATTTTCGCTTCCAAGTTCTCCTCGCCCAACACGCAGTTTATTGTCACTTTCAAGACCACAGCCCGCAGCCACCTTTACAGCGCTTCAGACATCTACATCTTCTTCAACCCCGATAAGGCTTTTCTGGTCACGCCATCCAAGACTCTACATCACCACGAACTTTATCTTGGACAGGCGTACGTTCTCGTTGACAACACCTCTTCAATTCCGAGCCAGTTTCGAAAACTGCTTGGACTTCGTCTAGAACTATCGTACTATTTCGGCTACCCTTCTTGCGACATCACCAAAATTCAACGAAATTTCGAACATTCCTCCCTAATACGCCTTCAACACCCCAGATCATTCGGTTTATCCTCCTTGACGATACCATCAAGTTTCCTCGAGCTTACGAATTTTGTACACGAATCCACCTTCATTGCCTCAACGGTCACTGTCGCTTCACTTGACAATATGCCTCCTCTTCGATGTACCGTCTGCAATGCCAGCAATGCGACGGAGTGCTCTATCTGCAAATCTGCTGCATACTGCTCTGAGAGGTGTAAGAATGACGACGAGAGACTCCATCTGCTGGTCTGCAAGCAATTTGCTGCTTTTGTCGACAAGAATCCTCGCCCTTCGGAGAAGGCATTCATTGCGATTAAGCTTGAGCCGGAGTCGAAGGTTCCCGAACTGGTTTAGGTTCAAGGACGCAACTACAATGACTTCAAGATCGTAGAGATGGGTGCCTCTTTCAATCAACCGGTCAAGCACACCTTCCTCGGCGACGATGACCCACGACCCAACGAAGTCCGAATCACTTCTCACTCAACCCCGAAGTTTGATCTTGATCATACCGTTGCCTTCAACTTCCGTGATGCGTTCTTCTACGATGGCTCAAAGACCAATGAATGTGTCGCCAATATGGCGAATGGCAAGCATAAGCACCGCTGGTGTGGTCGACTCATCGTTCTTGCCTGGCCTGGCCTCAAGCTTGAGACAAAGGTCTATCAAGATGTCACTGCTGCTGATCTCCATTACGTTACGGACTACTTCAAGTCTTTCGGTGACGGTCTCGGCGTTAAGGAAGAGCTGAAGATTGGTGACCAGCCTGTCGACTTCGAGAAGGTTACCGATGTTTCGAGGATGATGCAGGACCTTTTCGTCGACGGCAGAGTCAGGGACCAAATTTGGGGCGTTGTCATCTCCTGCAAAGGTAGCCGAAAGTTCCGTGGCAAGCCGAGATACGCACCCACCTCCGTCATCGCACTACATGGTATCTTTCGGTTGAAGGCAACGGAGCTCTCGAAAGCTATGAAGCTTCCATTCATGACATACAAGCAGCTCGCTGCCCCGCTGAAATATAATGGCCCCGGTTGGAACCCGTTGGCAAACCCAGTCGCCTCGGCTATGAACCTTAACCTCCAAGTCTTGAGCGATACCTGGGGAGGGGTGGATAAGAAGATGTGGGATGATGTTGGTGATATCATTGTTGCGAGGGAGGATCACAAGGACATTACAATGCAGCAGGTTGAGGCTATTGCCCAATTTGCTCTAAAGGTACAGAAACTTGTTACTAAGCAGGTCATTGCGGAGCTGGCAGACTCTGAGAATCAGGACAAGAAGGCCAAGGCTGCATTGCGATGCAAGTTTCTTCAGGAGGAAGTCTCTAAGGAGAAGTTCGAGAACTTCTTCGTGAAGTACAAAGTTGACAAGATTAAGAAGAAAGACAAGACTTGGCGCGGAGCTGTTTCTCCTTATTTGATGGGATGCACAATCTTGTGGTCAGTCTGATGAGGTTTGCTGGCTTGACTCGGCTTTGGGGTCGTTCGTGAAGTCTCGGAAAGAGACCAGGCTTCAGGTTGGAGAAAGATTTCTCTGGAGTTGTACATCGGGTCATACACCACACAAAGGAACGAACATGAAGCATGCTGGAGGACCGAATTCTATTTGACGTTCAGCCTTACTCATCATACTGCTCCGTGGCCAATACCGACCTTCCCTCCCTCCCCTATCTCCGTGACCCCCTAACTTCATTATGCCTCCTCGCATCCGTCGTGATACTCTCCAACTGCTCCTGAAAGTCTTTCGTAATATAAAGCACCTTCTTCAGATGATCAACCGTCATCCTAGCATCTCCATTCTCCCGCTTTGCTTTACTCCTTGCTAGACTTAGCGCACTCGCAACAACATTCCGAATTTGTCTCCCATTGAGTTTATCCCTCGAAGCGTATTCGTCCACGAAATCCAACACTTTGTTGTAATCTTTAATGGATTTGGGCTCATTCTCCTCCAGCTGCCGCAAAAACATGCGGAATACGTTCTGCTTTTGCTTCTGATCCAGGTCTTCGTAGCGGATTGCTAAATGGATGCGGGATTGAACAGCGATGTCGAGGGAGGTTATGCGATTGGTAGTTAAGATTATGATACCGTCGTAGTATTCGAGGACTCGTAGTAAGACTAAACCCGTGAGCGACCTGGCGCATCAGAGGAAGGGGGGCTTACCTGACACAAGCGCATTCCTGTTTGGCTCTGACTCACTCGTCCGTGATTCGAGGAAGACGTCTGCTTCATCACTGGATCCTGTCGGTGGGTGCAAATGGAAGGGGATTGGAGGACTTACACGAGGAGAACAGCTTCCCATTTTCCAGCTAGGTAAAACATTTGCTCGAGGTTTCGCTCGGCTTTTGAGGCGTCGAGACCGATTTCGGCGACGCTGACGATGAAGAGTGGCTTGCCTGTCGCTTCTGCGATAGTTTCTGCAGTGAGCTATGAAACGTTAGTATCCGTGAGTGCAAGTCGGATGGGAAGGGGTCAAAATCTTACAGTCTTCCCTACGCCAGGAGGACCTGAGCAATGTCAGCGTTGGTAAATCAAAATGTTGGCACAAGCTTACCATGCAGTAGCAAAACAAGACCTTTCCCTTTATCCTCCACAACATCCTTAACCTTCAACCTATCATTCTGTCCTCCTCTCGCGCCATGTTCTTCTACCAATGCCTGAATCATAATCTTGTAATCTTCATCCAACTGGAGCTTCTCCTTGAACAAGGACATGCTCGGATCCGGTACATCGGTCGTCTTGTCCACGCTGAATTGACCCCATATCTTCTCCCTAGTCGAGTACCCAAGTATTCGAGGTGGATACAATAGAAACTCCTCTGGACCTGGTTCATGGTCCTTTTCTTCATCGGCCTGGTCGCCAAACCAGTCTCCAGTAAACCATGGTTCAGATTCGCCAAGGATGAGATAGTCAGCACCTGTCGAATGGTTAGTGAAGTTCAAAAACGTACGTGGGGTGGAGACATGTACCAAATTGCAAGAAGGCTTCTGGGTCGACTATCACCGGCCCTTTGACCATGACTGTTTTGCGCTTGTCCCCTGTCTTCGGTTCCTCTTCATCATTGTTGGTGTTATCATTTTCCTGGAAGTAATATAAACAAGAAGCTCCAATCAGTTGAAACGGAACTTACCTGATCTTTGCTGTCCTTCCTTACAACACTCCTTCGCTCTGACAACGCAGGGCCATTATAAATGTACATCTGACTTGCGCCGGACGGGGATCGAACAATCTTGTTGTACTTCGCTCCTCGATCTTGAAGCGACTTGCAAAGAATTTCGATCTCTTTCTCTGATCCATCCATGTAATATTCAAGTGGGTAGCAAGGAAGCTGACTGATATCTTTCGTCCCCCAGTACCGATCAATGTTAATATCGTAAAACACCTTTGTCATCCCCTTCCCTTTCCAATCCCAGCACCAAACGGAGACAGAACGCCTCCTTGGCACACGATTGAACCTCGGAATTGGTGCAAGAGCTACCTCAAAAATTTGGAAGGCGTTTTGGAACAGCTTGGCAACGACTTTGGTCCTAGGCTTGAAAATCGACCACATCGTATCATATGTTGTGATATTGGCCTTAATGTTCGACTCTCGGGTCTTGAAGTAGTTTTCAAGCTCTGGGGCGGCTTCGACGCATTCGAGTAGCCTCACGAGATCTGCACGGGCTTGCTTCTTCTCGCCTTCTTCTCCTTCAACAGGCTTGGCAGCCTTCTTTAGCCCTTCCCAGTTGTGCACCTATACCCCAATTTAAAAGCTGATCAAGTTGTGGAAGATTAAAATGGTTCTTACCAGAGGGGCATAAGGAGCAAGGATATTAACAGTCTCGCCCTCAAGATTTTGCCCGGGGTATTCTGTGCCAATGACTTCTTTGACCAAGTTTCGAAGCCCTTCTGCCTCAAGATCAACTTCACTGTTCGCATCGCGGATGTCGCCTTGGTCGAAATTTACGACCTTCTTCCTGAATGTGAATGCAATTTCTCCATCCTCCGCCTTCTTTCCATCAAGGCTGACATCAACATCGACGTATGCTCCGTCCTCTTTGTTCCATTTTCGGACTACGCTTCGGTACCTAGATTTTGGGCCTTTATCTTCGTCTTTCTTCTGTTCATCGGCTTTCTGTAGAGAGCATTAGCTGATGAAACTTTGAGGGGGGCGGAGATGCAGGGGGTTGATAGCATACGTCTTTCTTCGTTTTCTCGTCATCACAGCTGTCATTGTCGTCCTCCTTCTCGACGCCGTTAGCAGCTGCAGCTACAGGCGTAGGAATGATCACTGGAGCAGCAATCGCGGCTTCGAGTTGAGCAATCCGTTTCTCGAGCAGCTCCGTGTATCTGGACTGCAGATCGGCGAACCTTATCTCCACGTCAGACATCCTCAGTGTCTTGGCCTCGACAATTTGGGAGAGAAGATGGGGACTCTGTCTAGAAAGGCGAGTAGGCGCTTCAGCAATGACAATAGGACATCCTTCGCGCCGACGAGCGACTCCTACTTTAAGAGGAGAGCTCCCCTTGGTGGGACCCCTATCGGCGGAACAGGCCCTGTCAGGAGAGGGATCGCGGTGCATGGCCCGCATGTCACGGTTTCGGGGCTGAGTCCTCCACCCTTCACCACTTTGGGGGCCGGAACCTCTCCATCCTAATCGATTACTGGAGGAAGCTGGCAAAACCATGCAATTGATGAATCGATCTGCATGATGCAGTGAGATTCTCACCCCACGTCGACGTTGACCAGAATTGCATCGTGAACAGCAAACAGCAGGCAGCAGACAGGTGACAGATCACATCCACACTGACAGCAAACAATGTGTTTTGGCGGCGTGTGGAACATTGTGAACCAACAAAATGCATCGGTCCGTTCCGCATACTGCTGGCAGCTGGAAAGACTGGTGGTAGAGGGGATGGAGGGGTCGTGTGGTTCAATCCCCAAAGCCCCGCCTGGGGTCAGGAGCCTTTCCCCATCCTCTCCCTTGCCCCTGATGCCAGCGCAAACCCTGTCACCGAAGCCTGGCAAACCTATTGGCTTCCTGAAAACCGGACTCGATTGAGTGCAATATGCGCCGCAGTCGCGCAGGCCAAGCCCCAAAGCTGCTCGGACTTTCAGATTCCTGAACGTCCGATCCTCCGTCCACTCTGACTACGACGATGGCGGGTTCCTTTCACATTAGCACCGACGCGAAGTCCGCATCGAACAATCTTCTAATGCTTTCAATGTATGGTTGATATGTCGATTGTATGAATGGCTTCCAAAGTTCCCATGGAGGCCACTGAGGGGGGGGAGCCCGTTTGGTTTGAGGACCCACGGAAAGCTGGCGCGAATGAGTACGTCCCGTGTCTTTCGTACAATAGCAAACCACTCGCAAAGCCCGAAAGGGACAGTTTGGAGGTTTTGCGAAGCTGCTGAAGATTGCGATCTGCTACCCCGCATTTGGCCTGTATTAAACTATCCACTGACATGGAGTGTAGGCAGCTGCTAAAACCCGCGAAAGACGTCGTACGAGGGCGAGACCAATTCAAACAAAGGCTGCAAGGCTTTCTGAAGAAGAGTCGAGGGAATGCCGACCCTCCAAAGACGAAAGAAGATCTAGAGAAGGAGATTGCAAAATACGACTACTCGAATCTGAAGAACGAAGCAGGCAATATTTTGAATGCCGCGGCGCGGGTCAACTCGACATACAACCGAGAGCGACAAGAAGGAAGGAAAAAAGTCGGGCGGATTGCGCAGGAATTTATCAACTCATTTTCGGAGTTCTTGGGTGTATACTCGGGGATTGTCAATATTATGAAAGGTGCGGGGCAGATATATGGGGAAGTGGCGTATGAGACGCTCTCGGTTTTGTTTATTGTATGTCTCCCAGACAGCTCCTTGATGGATCGCTACTGAATATGCTAGGTGGTCGTCAATAAGAGTGGAAATGACAACGGCATGGCAGATTTGCTGCAGGAAATGCGGAAATCATTCCCACGGTTGGACGATTGGACTCTGATATACCCGACTCCTTCGATGAAGCAAGTTGTGGCGGAAGTTTATAAAGAGGTTATAACGTTTGCGCGTGACGCGTCGGTGTATTTCACAAGATTCAGAAGTAAGACCACTCCCGACTTTCGTGAATGGATGAATACTGATTCGTCCCCTGCAGCCCGGTTTTGGAAGGCGCTTGGAAACCCTCCCGCAATGGGCATCGAGAAGACTGCCTCCGTAATTCACAGCAAACTTGCCGAGGTGATGTCTGAGGCAATGGTCAACCTGCACAAACGAAACCAACAAATTCAACTCACGGTTGAAGAGTCAAAGATTACTTTAGAAGAATCGCACTCGACGATTCAACGTCTGGAGAGCATGCTAGAAGAAGCCCGACTTGAGAACGAGAAATATCGACAACAAGAAGAACAGGAAAAAGAAGATGAGGACAAGCAGCGCCTGGAGACATTTAAAGGCATTCTAGAAATCGTCACCTACCCAACCGCGCCTTCAAATCCAGATATCTGCGCCCACATGCTGACCAAAGCCTTCGACTCCCACAAAAAGAACCACTACCAACACATGACCCGCACCCTGCTCGAGTCACTTCCAACATACAAATCTTGGTTTGCTTCCTCGGAATCTTCGGTCCTCCTCCTCGCTGGTGAAACAAACACCAACGCACGCGCCGGCAGGGGCTATACGCACTCCTGGCTCTCACCTGCCACACTCTTTGCCGTTGACATTCTCCGCGAGAATGATGAAAGAGGTGCATATTATTGCTGCCATCCCGGCGCGAGGACAGATGACAACGATCTCGATATCTATTTGGCAAAGGATCTGCTCATCAAACTCTCTTACAAACTCCTGGAATCCCAGCCTAAAGTTCTGAGGAGGAAGATGGCACAGCTGCAATCCATTGTCACTAAACCGTTTTGGACACTCCTCGACCCGCAAAAACTCGAGCATCGGAGACTCGAATCATGGGAACTGAAAGAAAGGCAGAAAAACGCATTGGACTCTTGGTTTTCTCTCCTCCGTGAGATTCTCGAAGAGTTGAAAGAGGAAGGTAACGAGGGCAAGTTCACGTATTTGATTATTGACAGGATGGATCTTGTAGAGATGAAGGTGAGCTATTTCATGGATGAGCTTGTGAAGCTTGTGAGCAATGAGAATGTGAAGGTTAAAATACTGGCGGTTTTGGATACGGTGAGGGGTGAGTGGGATGAGGATTTGAGTGTTGTGGATGCGAGGGTCTTGGTTGTTCAAGGACTGGATCAAAAGCCGGCGGGGACTTTTGGACATACGTCTGCCATTGAGGACAAGTAGGGAGGTGTCGATATTTTATAATAAACATATGGATGAGTGAGCATAAGTAATGAAAAGCATTTCTGCAAGCCGAAGTTGCCATAAGGTAAATGTTGCACTGAACGGTCGACTAGCATTGTCCTGTGTCTTGACTCTCGAGCGACTCCGCTTCACTCTCCCATATCTGCCTTCCAACATCTGGCTCCGGCGCCTGTTTGATTCTTTCTATCCTGAAAGGTGTTCCGAATTTCCCTATCGTTTGGGTGAATCGAATTTAGTGGTGTCATGCTCGAATACCAGGAAGGATCCCAACTTCTTCCTCGACACAACCTCGTCTTTCCAACTCAAACAACACCTCCTCAAAGGGACTGGCTCCCAAGGAAGTAGCACACTCTTGCGTACGTATTCTTCGCGAATACTGCACATAGCTGATCTTACCTCCGACGGGCTGACTTTCTAGCTTCGCTTCCTCCCCATCTTGCTAAAGTGGGATAGCCGGTGTCCCACCCAACGCCCCCCCCCCCTTTTTTTTTTTGAGTAGACAGGGCTAACGAAGTCAAAATAGCCTGCAAGAACGAGAACCTCAAAGATCACCTCTACATTCTCATCGAACTTGGGTTAAGCACGCATGGACAATGGCTCCTCAACCTTGCACCTGGTGCAACCGAACACCTTCAACTTCCTCCGGCTCCGAACAAACAGCCTTCAAAGTCTGCGGTGCCTGCAATCTCGTTTTTTACTGCTCTACTGGATGTCAGAAATCGGATTGGAAGTACCACAAACTAGTCTGCAAGCAATACGGAGGGTCCATGTCGTCCACACCGCGTCCTTCTCAACTTTACAAGCTGGCGCTGGTGTTCCCTATCGATACCGACAGCCCGGCATTCCGCTAGGTTGAGTTTAAGTACGAAGACGCAGGTCCAGAGTCATGGGAGGAGCCTGTCCATCAACCACACCTTGGTCCTGCTGACTCCGACGGAGAAGTCTATTTCAATCGCGTGGAGATCTCGAAAAGATTGCATCCTGAATTCCCTTCCGAACAAAGGTATGATCTAGATCACACCATTATCGCATACGTCCGAGATAATTGTATAAACGATGGATCCGAGGAATTAAAGCATCGAAAAGATGGACAACGGCGAACGACCAACGAAATGGAGAGGCCCGATGCTTGCTTTTAGTCTCCCGGGAAACAGTGATGATCCGCCCTTCTTCCAGGACTTCAATCTGGCAGACTTTCTTGGTGTGCATGACGGACTGGACCGGAGAGACACTGGAAATCGCTTCGTTGCGCTTTCCGGTGATGGAACTCGTCAATGCTTCAACTTCGGAGCTAATTGGCAGGTTTGATTGGTTATGGATAGTTGGATGTAAATCCTTACTTCTTTAATACTTTGGCCAGGGCCCGCCTCTGCTTCTAATCATAAGTCAAGTCTTCACAAAATTGTCCATTGATTGCTCTTCATTCTTGCAAAAAAAATTTATTGTGTCCTGAGTGCAAAGTATGGGAACGATCGACATGAACTTGCTAGAATAGCTCGGATTTTCAAACCGAGAATGGGTTGTTCCCATTGATGCCTGCCCCATGCTGCTGAGGAAGCACCCTATTTCCCTCGATATCCCTTGGCTCAAAATCTAAGCCATAAAATGTCGACTTCGCTAACTCCATCCCGTAATTTTTAATGAGCCAATGCGCCATCATGTCCATCCCAGCACAGGCACCTCCCGAAGTCCAAATCTTGCCGTCCTCAACCCACTGCTTCTCCACCCACTTCACCTTGGGCGCCACCTTCTTCGCAACCTCCAACACGCCATGATTCGTCGTCGCAGTCCTCCCATCGAGAACTCCAGATGGCGCAATCGCCAATCCACCAGTACAAGTCGTAAACAAGTGGCCGCCAGCCTTCACATGCTGCCTAATGAACTCCGCGAACCGATCAGGGAGCACGTACTTCGAGGGGTCTGGGCCGCCGACGAGTAGGAAGTCGAGGGGAGGACAGGTGTCACAGGTCGTTGTTGGGACGACTCTCAGGCCGCCAGTCATTTGGACCGGATTCATGGTTTCGGCAATGTGGTGGAATTTGATATCGATGGCTTTATCAACCATCTTGGAGGCCCCAGGGAAGCCGGCGGCCGCCAGGGAGGTCATGAGCTCCTTTGAGGAACAGGAAAGAATGTCGAGAGGACCGGCTACATCGAGAACTTGGTACTGGATCATGAGGAAGCCAAAGTTGAGAGGCGCCATGTCGAAGAACGTGTTAGAGTAATGAAAGGGGACTCTTTTGATAGAAATTGATTGAAGATTGAGATTTTGGAATGGAGTTCGAGGACAGGCCTTTATAGAAACTAGAGAGGGAGTTTGAACTCGTTTGGAATCACCGGTTGAGCATATTTCCTGGGAATATTGACGCGGATATTGTAGGATATACGATTTCGGATATCCATTTTCCTGCCACAGCGCCCGGGTTTGCTTGACGATTTTGACCTCCCTTTTAAACCTTAATAATTCACCACACAACTATATGACATTCAGAAACCAAAAATTTGTAGTGAATAGCTTTTTGAACTATAAGAATATAAAGTTTGTTTTTATTTTAATAAAGGTTTAGCTACGTAGTTTAGATTGGCAGTAGAAACTTTTAATGTTCCTTTAATTTAAGCGAGACCCGGGCACTGTGGCAGCCCAACGGATAGAGAACAGGGAGCAGCCGCGTGGCACTGCTGAAAAGGAAGCAAATGTCACCCCACACCCATCCGACAGACTTCATGATGTCTCTAATATGCGTAAAAGTTATTGTATCTCCGATGGACCACGTTGACATCCGTCTCCGGAAAGATTGAGATTTGAGGCCTGGCAAGAGCCGCGGGCGACTTGGGTGAGGGCCGAAGTCTACTGGCAGCAAAATTAGATTTGAATAATCTGAAGTCAAGAATTTATGATTGTATATCTCATAAGGTGGTTTAATCTACCAAAATCAGTGTACCTCTCGAAAAGGAAGAGAAAACGAGAAGCAACGAACCATCAGAAAAGTGGCAGTCACGTGACCTCTACAAACACATACCAGATCAGTCACCACGAGTTTAAACGAGACACAAGCCTCTGTAATCATCAAAGCACCGTCATCAATTGGTAGAATGACAATTGGAGATAGGAAGATCGGTTTTCTCAGAGAGGTGGGATCTTCGCATAAATAGACTTTCGCGAGATGGAGGCAGGGTCAATTTAGCTTTGAATTAGGTTTAAATTAAGGCAGACTGAGGAAATTCGTGTTGGCCGTTGATCGCTCTGGTTCAAATAGTGGGGGTAGATGAGAGACAAAATTAAAAGCTCTCTCGTGACCTTCGACGCTCCTCCATCTGTCCCGGGTGTTGACCATCTGGTGTATATTCTTTATCAACCCATGCCTGATATACCGTCTCATGAGTCTGCACCGGCGGTCCATCTGGCTCAGGATCATTCTCAATAATAACTTCTTTCTCGACCTGAAAGACCACTCCCTCATTCCGAGTCCTTCGCATAGCATACAAATTGAAGCCAACATACCAAAGCAGACCAAAGCCGAGTATACTCCACGCAACAGTCGGCGTCGTGAACCAAGGGATGACAAACTTGTTTTTTGCATAGCTGCCGCTTGGGGGAACCCAAGAAGCAATGATTGGGTATGCACTGCCGACTGCAAATGTGATTGCGCTGATGATGCTGAGATACGGATTGAAATTGGACTTCCTTCTCCAACCTTCGCGGCTGCTGAATCGCAGCTTCAACATTCCGATGGCGATGGCACACCCGAATATCGCAATGATTGTGTAGGAGTAGAGGTTGACGAGGGTTCCATAGGCAGTTGTCGGGTCCAGGTGGATTGTTGCAAGGATCATGATGACGGTGAAGACCCAGTGAAGGAAGAGCGCTCCAAAAGGAGTTTCTTGAGAGTGCTCTTTAGGAGCCATCCACGGCTGTTTTAGCAGCCAGTTGAAATTCCTGGTGACGAACGCGTGATTGCCATTTTCGATCCAGGATAAAAAGCGTCCAAAGGAAAGGTTCTTTGTCTGGGCGAAGAATTTCGCGTTGGGAAGGATTCCCTCTTTCGCAATTTCTTGTTTCACTGAATCCCCAATTTAGCGATACGAATCAAGAGGAATATACTTTAGCTGAGATAGTGCTGACCTCTTGCTGCTGTAAATGTCATAACCACAATATTTCCAAGACTTGAGATAGCCATGAATGCAGAAAGAATACGCTGGGGAAGGTAATGGTCTTCAGACAAAGTTCCATAGGTTAATTGGAAAAACATGAGGGCAACGTTATTGGATGGATCCAGCTGAGATTCTTTCGGAACCACCACCATCTTCACACAGAAGTCAGCATATAAATAAAACATCCTGGTAGACAATCATTGTGCTTACGTATGCAACGTTGACGAGAAGATAAAGGACAACGATGATTGTAACACCGATTGACGTTCCAATAGGCATTGTCTTCCGTGGTCTGCGAATCTCGCCAAGCACCTGGATCCGGTCAGTCTACTTCCGTGAGGGTGATAACGGGGGATCAGAGTAGCCTACATAGTTTGGCTGATCGAACCCACTCCAAGCAAAGATTACTGCAAGAAAAGCTTGAGTGTATCCGTAAGATTCATTCGACGAATTTGCAAAGGCACGGTTCAATGCCATATTGTCACTCGCATACGTCGGTGTGTGGAAAGCACCGGCCCAAGCACATATCCCTGTGATGATAATCAACAGCAGCATGAGAACCTTGATCAATGCGAATATGTTCCCTAACCAAATGCCACCTCGGCGAGAGAAGGAGTGAATGAGACAGGCAAGGGTTGCAGCCGCAATCGCAATTCCTCTAACGGCACTATTTGTCACAGGGACATTGGCGGCTTGGAGAACGCGAATCCCAAAAATTAGACAATTGCCCGCCATATTCCCGAGTATGATGTATGTGATACCGAAGACACAGGTAACGAGGAGGACAGTTCGGGGGCGGTAGGCGGGCCAAGTGAAGACATATTGTAACTGTACGTCATGAGCAGATCATTTTCGACCTTGTATAAAGATCTTGAGCAGACTTACGTAGTTTAGTGTTCCCCCAGAACGTGGAATGCCCTGTTCCACGTCTCGGAAAAAATGGCGTGGTGTCGAGAGGCCGAACTCAATATTCAAGTGAGCACCAGCAATCGTATACACGGCGCCGGCGAGCCAGAAAAGGAGAGTGATGCCCACGCTTTGCGTCCCACGCATAATCGTCGACGGAGAATTGAAGATTCCAGTGCCTGTGATTGTCCCATCAGCGTTAAGTTCAACGAAAAATATAAACACAAACCTATAACACGATTGACAACCAACGCAATTACATCCCAGTATCCCAATCTAAATCGTTCTTCTGGTGCTTTCGTGATAATCGCATTTTTGGTGTTTTCCGGCAGAATTACACCGATTGCGGAATCAACACTACTGTGGTCGTCTCGATTCTGAGGATCACTCCCCAGATCAGTACCTTGATAGGTGTCTGAAGCCATTGTCTTAGAAGTGCCTTACACAGAAATGAAGTTGGGATTGAAAACAATCGCTCCAACATGAACGAAGATAGCCGGAAAGGCTACGAGAGGAAGTCAGAGACCCAAGCAGTTCCAATAAATGAAACCCATGCCAAGATTCCCTCGTGTCGGCCCACAAGGCTCTGAAGGATTGTGGCTTACCAGGCTCTCCTGCAAGGCCGTCGTTTTCACTTGGTTGTGGCAGGGCGCCAAGGAAATCCTTTGAAACGTTGTGTAACCCATCTTTAGATAACATTGGACTTTCGGTCCTCTAATGCAAGCCACCAATATCCGAGCCCCAGCAAAAATCGTGCAACAAAGGAAACGACCGAGGGACTCCTCTGAAGCCGGGCGCAAGGCAGTTTAAAACCACGGAACCCATTCTTTTGCATGCAGGCTTGCATATGAGTCTTCCATCACATTCCACAACGTTATCTGAATTCTGCCCCCCCTCATCTCATCACGAAGCCGGGAGCGCCAAGGGGAAAATACGGGCCCGATGAGGCGTCGCGTGCGTTGGAAATATTGACGACGCACATGACTCTTTGGTCTCCTCATCCTTTCATGTCCTTTCTTACTTGCACTGAAGACACTTGAGTGATAGCAACAATAAAGCGCACCAAAGAGACCACCAAACGAACGTATTTCCAAATGAGCAAAGCCTAGAATTTGTGGTTGGCGCGCCACTAGCTGGTGTACCGCCATAATCTTACGAACCATGTTTTCCGCCATCGACATCATTCATGCTGTCAGATTTGCGTGGGACGTATACAATTTGGGGTGGAGTGAAGAGTTGAACGCAAGTAGGTAACATTTTCTGTCATGCCGGAGCCTGTTTTTGGCCGATGCATAAAAGTCGATCGTTGTTCTGTCAAAGGCGCTGGAGAATGCTAATTGTGCGTCCTTCTCTCAGGCAAACAATATGAGGATTTCTGGAACGATGTAAGAAGTCTTGCTGAAAACCTCCAAGATATTTCACGGGTTGTCGAGAACGCCAAAGCGACATGGACTCAACAATCTCTTCAACTTGTGCGGTCCCCTGGACTGCCTTCACAGAAAGATTGGGACCTTACATCCCTGCGCGAGATAATTGGGGACTACCACAAAACACTTACGGACTGCCGGAAACTGCTCGAGGAGAATCCCGAGTTTCGGAAAAATCGCAACTTTGCTTACAATATTGAATGGAATAAGGTGATTCAGCCGAAAGTTGAGCTTCTGCGGAAGAGGCTGGAGTTTCACAACACTAAAATTTTAGTTCTCTTAAGGCCTTTGGAGCTGAACCTTCTTTCTGAGATTCACCGAGATCTCGCAAACCGTATCGATGCAGTCCATCAAACTCTCCTACAATTGCGTGGTCTCCTCATCCCCGACGTCGTGCAAGCCATATCTGAACAAGAAACTGCTGTTGTGGTCGATCTAGATGTCCCTGACGAAATTGAAAGCCGGTTTCGTTTGGCAGCCGAAAGGTCATATCCCGAGATCCGGACAGCTGGAAACTTCCCTCTGCATGCCGGCGCCGATTCATTCGTTGAGTATTTCGAGGAGAGTACTAAAGGCTTCACAGCGAGGGGAAGCTTTCTTGATGCACGAACACCACCAGCGCAACAATACCTCGCACTTCTCAAATGCATTTGGATAATGAGATGCCTGTCAAACTGCGAGGCGCTCCGAAGCGCATCAGCCGATTCCCAATGGCCCGGTTATGTACATCAACTGAGGGAGGATCTCTCCATGGAGTGTCAACGTTTCAAGGCTCCAACCCCTCAGGCACAGCGATTGATTGTTCCAGATCTAAGCGGAATTAGCAATGACGTTGCATATGACATCTGGCCGGCGGAGAATATTGCAGACTACATGTCGCGACACACTGAGGAGCGAGCCTTGGAGGAGGTCCTGAAATTCCCAATGCCGAGTCAGTCCGAGTCCCTGCATCGGGAACTGAAGATTTTGCGACTGGAATCGACCAGATACCGCCTTGTGGAATCCGTTGAAGATAAAAGCACTAAGCCAAACCGCCGCCAAGAGCTCAAGATGGAAATTGACCTCAAGACGGTAAATTTCATGCCTCTGTACGCAATTCCAAGCTCAAGGCCTAAAGCGTTGGAGGTCATGATAGCTTCACCGACTGCAGACATTACTCCGACTTTCCTCGAGCCCAAGCACATCTTCAGCCTCCAGCATCTGCTGACAGGGTACAAAGTATATGGGCGGTATGACCAAGGAATGGTCACAGTGTCCTTCACTATCCCAGGCCAACCTAAACCACTTGAAGAGCATGGGAGACTCCAACTATGGTTGCCGCACCCGTTTCGTAGTTCGTCAACTCCCTCTTCCGGCGCTTCAAGCATTGCTCCGAGCCGATTTGGCAACAGCCGTACAAGTCTCGGTACTGGGATGGAGACCATGTCACTCAATAGTCGCAGCGAACGTACTCCCACTCGGCTCGTCAGTCCCACAAGCCCATTGGGCCCTGTTAGCTCTATTTCCTTCAACATGTCCAGGAACTCGTCCTCGGCGAGTTCTTCCCGCGAGAACGCAATGTCTAACAGAAGGGGAGGCCCTTCAGCTCCGTCGGTTGCTGATTCAATCAATCGAAGTAAAACATCGACATCAATGGGGGACGCTCGAGAAAGCATGACACCAAGTCGCACGAGCTCTCAATCCACAACCAACAAGCTCACAAAGACTCAACGTCCACCCAGCATAGCCCCAAGCACGAGGACGACATCAAGTGTCACTTCCCACACCAGCATGTCTTCAATCACAACTGTCAGTACGGGCACCGGTAGAGCACAGATTCACACCAAACCGGCGAAGCCATTGCTGGTCATTTTCCTGAAAAGTAAAGAAGTAACACAAAAGCTCGCAATTGTCGCCATTCAGGTTGACGAGAAGACGGAAGTTGAACGGGAGCGTTGCGGATGTCGGTCCTCTAATAGCAAGTGCGAGGATAGTTGTATTGAGAGATCCGGGGGTAGTTTGCTTGCGCAGCGTTGGGATGCGGATCGGCTGGGGAGCTGGAATTTGGCGAAGTTGGGTGTCGAGCAAAAGAAGGAGTTGCCGGAAGATGCCTGGGAAGATTTGAAGAGAGTGAAGCTGAAGTTTGATAGCCTTGAAGGTAAGTTGTGCCTTCCCAAATTTCTATTTGAAAGATGTTGGCGTTGACCCAGTCCACTAGATCGGCTTAAGTTCAGTGGGAAGCCTTGCCGCTGCAAACCACTGATGCAACATGATCTATCAGCGTGCGTATTGGAGGGCCATCATGGCGTCTTTGGAATTGTCAAACAGATAGGCAGCCAGAATCTGAGAAACTACCATCAGGCACGCGAGGAAGCTGTGGGACGGAGCATCGAACTTGCCCCATTGCTTGAACACGAGTATTGAGAGACTAAAGCCTGTCAACATCAAGCTCTAGATTTGGATGATGACTGCCGTTGTGTTTCCGGCAATGCTGCTGATGTTGAGGTTTTCATTGAATGGAGGAACGAAAGGAGAAGAGATGGACGGTGAAAACGGAATGTCACGTTTCGAGCTAAGACTTTACACTATGCTCGAAATGGAAGGCTGGTCAACGGCGGGAACTCGCGTCTCTTTCTCCCTCACAACCTCCACTCATTTTCAGCGAAAGGTTCAACCTCCCGACACCAAGTTACACGCAGAATGGCAGTGCTCGGTGAAAGGTGGCGAATTAAAACATGGCTGTCGTCCGCCACGAAAACACCCGTTCAAGGACCCCAGTCTTCTGCTCTGAACGGGTAGCATTTTTGTTCTACTTCTTCTCCAACGCCAAGATGCCCCCATCAGAGGCAATACCACTCAATCCTCCTCATGCTACCGCATTCAATGCTTTCAGGGTTGAGAAGCAGAGTCACCCCGGCCGACAACGAGCCAGATTTGGCCCTTAGCGTCGACGAGAAGTAGAAGCTGTGAGATGAAAGGGCGCGTGTTTGAGGTGCTTAGTTCTCCGCATTCCAGTTAGTATTCTGCGCTTCAGAGCGGGCCGTATGTTAATGGAGATATAGTGTTCACGTGATGACATCTGCGTCTCGTGCCAACAGCTAGTTGTCCATGCACATCAAAGACATACGTTGACGTTCTCGGCATGTATTCGGACTAGTACATCTGATGCAAGTGTGTTTGACTTCTGTGAGATCCCTCCACTGTTGAGATATGCTCAAGTCAGCTGACCAAGCAAAGACATTCCGCCTCCGGGCCAAAATCGAGACATCATACTCACAAAGAGCGAACAACTGTCCACGACAACAATCAGCCTCGACTTCTCGTCTCTGATTACGTGGGATCTAGAATTCCTTGTCGATGACGTGGTGGGCTGGCTCAACAAGTCTACAATTTCCGAAACTAGCAAAGTTGGCATCCTGTCCTCTCCTCGACTCCTCGGTCTCATTCAGCCTTTCATCGAAGATGATATTATGGAACAATTTCATCGCATGATTTACGCCATCTCTCTGGCATACACTCAGCCACACACGCCAAACAGACATCACTTGACCACTCCCGAACTGCTGCAGATTGGGTCCTTTGCTGGCCACAAGTTTCTCAGGAACCTCGACAAGCTATTGAAGCCACAACGTTTGAGGGACTGCTCTCTGGGCCGACTCCGAGCACTTTTTCTTCTAATATTTGGAGCCATTCTGGCGGCTGGTTACACCTCTCCCCAGCCTTCGGGCAACACCCAACAGGAGCTTGCCCAATTCAAGGATACTCAAGATTTCCTATGCCAAATCCTCGCGCACTACCTGCTCTACCTCGGGTCACAAATGAAACTCCCGATTACGAGTGAAACGCAGCAGTTCATTCCGCAGGCAGCGCCTGCCAGGCGGCATAGACAGGGACTGTTCCAATGGGCGATCGCGCCCGAGGTTGAAACATACAACCCGGAGACAACCTCAAACGGGTCACCTCAAGTTACTTCGGTAGATCAATTATCTGAGAACCCATTCGTCCTCATGAAGGGAACAGAAAATGTCAATCACGCTCGCCCTCGCCGTGGGTCAAATAATCAAGGATACGGAGACTACTGCGGCAGCGCTGAGTATGTTTTGCAACATGGTGAAGATTCCGGACTCTTTGATCACACTCAGACGGCCAAAGACGGTTCGCAAGCGCTTTTCGAAGTTTCCTACGGATAGGTAAGTGTTCTCCCAACACTTTTCAGCGTAAGTAATAGTTTTGCTAACTGCCGGAAGTTTTATACTTGCATGATTGCGCCAACACATGGGCCCTGCACAGAATGCAATGGCTGTGGGATTGTGGGAATGCTAATTCCAGTAGATGCGGAAGCTTCATCATCTTCGACACTAAGTGGTGCACCGACATCACGGAAGCACCTACTTGTCTAAGGGAAGAAGTCTGCTGCCTATGGCCAATATGCGGTAAATTTTGTCAAAGTCCAGGCGTTCATCAACCTCATTATGGACGAGACCAAGGTGCATATTGAAGATCGCGATGGCACACTGAGGGAATACGTGAGTAAAGAAGCTATGATCGGAAAGTCTGTTGGGAGGTGGTTTTGCTCCGCTGTGGAAAGTGAGTCGCTCCTGCTTGTTGCTTTCATGAATACTTACTGGAGCTAACCATTCACTTGGTCCAGTGAAGCCCGTTTCTGTGACTAGACCGGGACTGGTAATTGTGAAATTGGGCAACCTCCCACACTTTCTAGCGCCGGAATTTGAGATATTTGCTTTCCATAGGCATGAGTGGCAAGGCCAGCGCGAGAACGCGATTCAGTATAAGATCAAATTGGGCGACGAAAAGGTGTAGTTTAGAACCTGTAGCTTTTCCTAACGTCTTTCACGAGGGCACGAAAAACAAAGGGCTTGTAATGACCTTTCCGCCGTCCCATTCCCGACCAACAAAATACACATCACGTCCACTGGCGTTTCTCTTGAGGACTAGATCTAAAGATCCTTCCACTCGTTTTGGGAGTGTTACATTTGGTACAACCTCGGCTCTCACGAATAGGTTAGCTCCACCCTTGATATATATCTTTTTACCTCCCGGTTTTAGAGCTTCATCCCAACTAGCCTCCAATTCAAATTTGGGCTGAGCCTTATGCGGATTTCCTTTCAGCGCGTCACCCACTTTCACATACCCTCCCAGTTTACCTGCAACAACAATTTTCTCGGGGTGAGATGCTGCTTCAAAGGACAAGTCCACACCATCAAAGTCACCACTCGTTCGTGTATGGAAAGCTACACTTTGAGGTCCAATCTGGGAGATAGCCTCTTCTGGAACATCAGAAACGCCACCAAATGGCTGCATTTCCAAGATTTCAGCTCTATCACATTGTATACCGCCATCCCAAACGGCTTCTCGGTATCGATCATATAGTCTTGCACCGCCCCAGGTGATTCGAACGGTGTTCCACGAAGAAGGTGCCAAATTGGAAAGAACCGCTCTCTCGTGCTGCAAGTCGCGGTCGAAAATGCAGCCAGAAGCGTCATATGCTTGAATGGAGGAGAAACCACGTCCTCCAAAGAACGCATAGTTCAGCGTGGCAGATTGGGTTTCTCCCTCAAAGACAACCTCGTCTCCTTGTCGTGCTTGCGAACCTTTCAATGTCGTGGAAAGCAGTCCAACGAGTCGCTCGCCAGTTGTTGCAAAGGTATTCCGCGCTCTCAAAGCCTTTCCTACCGCAACCCTGTCCAAAGACTGCGAGAGTACACCAGTGAGTCCACCTTTCGTACCAAAGACTGCGGTTCCTGGAACTCCGCCACCACAACGTCCTCGATGCTCGTCCGAATTCGCGCAAACCCCCATTTTCCATCCCCTCTTTACCGCGTCCCGAAGCAACCACTCGAATTGACCCCACGCACTTCCAATTTCCAGCAGCCGCTCCAATCGGGGATGATGCCACCCCAGATTACAACGCCTACCTCCCACGTGAGGAATCAAAAGGTGTGTCTCAGGGGAATGCGCATATGTGGCATAGAGTTCGTCAAGCGGCCAAGTACCAGGTTGCAATTCTGCGGGACCGTCTTCGTTCCATTCAAAACTACGTGCTACATTGCCCCGCTTGTCAAGAGGAAACTCGGGTGGGTTCGTAACGGGATCGTCAAGGAAAACCACATTGTGGTCACCGCCGGCTGCGCTGTTTCCACACCATTCCGTTCCCGGGAACACGATGAACTCGCCCTCTTGGTTGATTGTATGGATAAGAGAAAGCGTGGATTCCCATTTGGCGGCGGTGATATTGAAGTCGTTGGCTGTATAGCCTACAATGTCGAGGCCGGCAATCTTCTGGGCGTAGGAGAAGTTGTATTCTGTATTATTCGTGCCAACGGTATCGTTCGAGTGTACGTGGAGATCGGCAAAAAGGATCCGTGGGACAAGAGAGCTGGTAGAAACAGAAATTGGTTCTCGGGTGCTGTACTCGGAATTTGTTTTCAAAGATTTCAGTATAAATTCGATGGTATAATCGCCTTCGTCTTTCAAGACGACGCTTTTGAACGCAGCATGCGTCCAGCCAACTGAGGAAATCATTGTCCCCTCTGCAACAACCGGAGATTGCTCTTGGTCAATATCGTTGAATATGGTCAACTTCAGAGATAAACCTTCCTGGTTCGTTGTTACATTTCCCCACAAGTCTCTTGCGTGCACATAGATAGGAAATGGGGTACCAGGTGTGACCAGACGCGGAGAATGTGCCTTGAGATGATTTATTGGCCCACTATGAATGTCAAAGACCAGGTCCGGCTTGATAGCTGCGAATCTCGAAGTCCCAACCGGATCGATGTACCACCTCATTCGAAAGTCGTCTTCAACAAAAGTTTGTGTTCGCGTCCCTTTGGCACCAAATCGACGATCACCTAGCCGGACAATGATTTGATCGCCGGGATTCATGTAACCGTCGACGATATCAATAATCACGGCTTTTTGGAAAGGGCGTTCATGACCCTTTTGATCGAAGCGCACGGCGAGTTCTTGGACTGTTGCTGGTGTTTGCCCTGAGACGAGTGGTCCGGCCAGATATTCTGCTGATACATAATTGTCTCCTGTAGAGTCTGACGTTTGAAATAAAGCCCAATCCTTCAAATAATGTGAGTTAACTTTGCGCGCTAATTTAGGAAGACTTGGGCGATGTATGCTTACAGAATAGAATTTGAAGGTGCCTTTTATCCAAGCTCCGTCAGCAAGTCCGCTGCCGCCCACAGTGTACGTAATCTCGACCTCGGTCCATTCCCCTGCAGTCAACGACGAGACATTACTTGAAAGAGATCCCAGGAATGGGAGAGACTTTATGTAATGATATAGTCCTATAGGCGCAACATATGTTCCAAGACGCTCTCGAAGCTCAACATCAGTGAGAGTCTTCATCATAGACTAGATTTTAAATTGCTGGGTGCGTAATGGAGCAGATTTACACAAATTGACTTATTTCTTGTTTGTAAGAACAGTGAATACCAATGCGAGGAGTCGTTAGTGGGGACGGTTTATAACATATGGCCCTCGCGATGGCGTGCTTTTGGCGGTCAATTCGTAATTGTGAGCGAGATTTGGACACAATAGGAAATGCAAGCGAGCCCCTTTGTTTTATTTTTAACGAACTCACCAAGAAAGTAACATACTAGACAACTCGCCTCCTACTAGGCTAAGAACCCCTCTGTCAAGTACTTTCGTACAACTATGTCACCAATGGTGTGACACTGGCTCCCGCCAAAAACGTATTAACTGCCGTTCAGCCATCACCCACCGCAGTTCCGGTTCCAGCCCCCGCAAAGAAGTTTGACGAGGTCTGATTACCACGGAGAACCCACTCCGCCCAGTGCGACGCAGCGATACCGAACGCGCCTTCATTTGCCTTGGCGTAGGTTGCCATGTGGTCAACATTCTCGTACCCCATGCATTTGGTGGCTTTGAGGGGCGGGTACCATCATCACGCTGGCCTTAATTCACCCTCGCTATCACAATAAAATCCTAGGTCATAGCGAAGTAAGAAATTGACCCAGGCAACATACGGGGTAATGCAACATCTGCAACATATTTCACGGAAACTGGCGCGATGACTGATGGGTGGACGGCTGTGAGCCAAAACTTGGACAAGATTAAAGTAACTCCAATTTGAACGGCGTCAGAAAATCTCAGAACAAGTTTTCAGTCTGCATTCGAATAGTGTTTTTGAAATTTCCCTTGGCCAGAGGGCGATGAAAGCTCTGATCTGGAACCTTCTATTGTTCGGCTGGCCGCGGCCGCAAGGGAGTTTAGTTGTTGCTTTGGTAAACGTCAAAATTGTGTTATTATCGTTGCAAGATGCTCATTATTGTTGTTAAAGAGAGGGTTTCTGAGATAAATACGAATAAAGTATTATTTGGCGAGATGCCCACGAACTGAATTGAAATACTTCATAACCACAAGCCTACATTGCCGCATGTCTCAGGGCCCTCCCTTCCACATACTCTTTTGCTGTATCCACAAAAATATTTCTCCCCTTAACATAAGCCACAAGCAATCCCCAGAGCTTCCAGCCTCCGATCTGTCCAGTAGCATACTTTTTGCCCATCGTGATGAAAATCATCGGCTTTCCAAGCTTGTATTCCTTTACTTCTCCCTTTCCCGTCAAAACGGCATCCAGAGCAGAGAACAGATGAACGATCATTGCGTCGATGACTGTGACTTGCTTCGGCTCAAGATTTCCCACATCTCCGGTGCCCCAGATGTTCTTTGTCCCTGTCACTCGCATGGTTTTGTCCAGAATGATGCTTCCGGTAGAGTCAAGGAGGTTCGCAGGAACGAAAGTCGTATTCAATTTGATGCCGAAGAGGGGTAGGTACAAATCTGCGATGAGGGTGGTGGCATTTGAAAGCTTGATGGTGGTTTGTGCAGCGGCATCGCCATCTCCGATGTTGCTCGCCTTTGAAATGTCGACTTTTGCGTTGTGTATTAATTTTACGCCGAGTTTCCGCAAGTCCTTCTCAACAATTTGCCTGACGCTCGGTTGAACAGTCGATGACCCCAGAACGTGCTCTCCACCGACGACGAGCGTGATTTCCTTCTCAGCTCCATAATGTGCTGCAATTTCTCCAGCAGTTTCCACGCCAGTTGGCCCTGCTCCAGCAATCACGATTGATGTTGCTGCCTTGATCTGCTGCTGAAGTGAGTGCAGAGCATTGAGCGTCTCTTCGTGGGTGCCAACGGGTTTGAATGGCATTTCATTGAGGATCTGGGAGCCGGTGGCAATGACTAGTTGATCATAAGAAAGAGAGCTTTTGTTGCCATCATTCTGGGTTATCTCCATTGTGCTGCTGTCCGGATCGATTTTGGAGGCTTTACCCAAGAGGAACTGGAAGCTCGCCTCAGGGTATCTCGCGAAGCCTGGCTGGATAGGGAGGAATAGCTCATTGTCGGTGAACGTTCCAGGTATGACCCCACGAACAGCAGCAAGATTCCAGTAGAAGTGTGTGTTCGGTGAGACGAGGATCACTTTCAAGTCTTTGACCTTTGGGAGGGTGTACTTGAGGAGTTTGTGTGCGAGAGGGAGGCCTGCCCAGCCAGCACCAAGGATGACGACCGTCTTTCCCATCAAATCTGTTGATCAGCGCAATCAACGATTGTCGATTTTGGAGTCTTTTTGATGCTTGGAAAGAAAGAGAATTGATTACTGGAGCCTTGGTGATTTGAGTTAGATGAGACTAAATGTGTCGTGAAGTTGTTCGGTGAATACTTTAAACAATATATTCCCGACGAACAATGATTTATTCCGCAAAGTGATCGTAATGAGTTTTATTATGGAATCTCTAACCATTATATACAATCGAAGCAAATAGTTGATGCTCGGTCGTTGAAAAATGAGGGACGTCTCGTTCTACGAGCCAATCAGAAGCGCCCTTACCGTAAAGGGGCTCGTTCTGGAAGCGGATTGATTGGCTGATCTATGGCCGAGCGGACACCGAGATGCGCCACGATTCCTCAACGTCCAACATCCCGGGCTTCCACTTCCTGGTGGCATTTGGATCACAAACACAAGACACGCGGCCGAATTCAAAGTCGTCCGTTTGCCGAAGAAATGCCATTGCAACCCCCGGACCCTGCCGGTGATGGTTCAGAACCCCTGAAGATATGGAATTGCGTCAATTGCCGCCGTCGTAAAGTGCGCTGTGATAGGCACCATCCATGCGCCCAATGCACCAGAAATGAGATCGAGTGTGTCTTCCCCGTATCTGGCCGTATCCCTAGCAGAAGCCGAATCGGAGACCGGGCAGTACAGAAGCAATTCGAGCTCATAGGCCGCCTGAGACGGTTGGAAGCAATGGTTGGTGGACTCAGCTCTCAGGTTGAGAATGCGGCAGGAATAAGCCAGATTGATCATCCTGTGGAGGGTTCAGCGAGCGCAGCAAGTGTGACGTCCAGTGAACAAAGTTTCAGCATCTCAAATGTAACTTCCGAGCCACCTCAGGTGCCTGAAAACTTTGGCGTATTGGAGGTTGCCAGAAATGGTGACCTTGTCGTCGGCGAAGGGTTTTGGACGGTCTTTTGCCAAGAGGTGCGTGTCGACTCTAGTATACTTTACTGACTCCATGTGCGGAGTCAGACTGGTCTCTCCTTCCCCCTTTCGTGACGGCTTCTCTTGCGAACTGGTCGCTGACTTCTCCACCAGGTGGAGGATATCTTTGAAGCTGTCCAAGGCCATACAGTCATGAACTTTAACGACGGCAGTAGCTCATCGATGTCAAATGTCTCACCTCATACCGGCTATTACAGTTTCCTTCTCAGAAGTACTTCAGGAGCACGACAGAAGAAGGATGTATACCCTCTCCCTTCTCAGTTGCTGTTCCTCTGGCAAATATACCTGGACAACGTCGATCCCTTCATCAAAATATTACACGCGCCAACCATGACAAAAGCCATTCGCGAAATCAGAAGCAGTTATGAATCACTTGGATCTAGTATGCAAGCCCTTGTTCTCGCCATTTCCTTGGCGGCAATTATGTCGCTCGAGGATGAGGAGGTGAGCCTCCTGCTTGCTGCAAGGATCTATGGCTGACACACTCACTTCAAGGTGAAAGCGAACTTCAATACTGACAGAAATGGCCTTATTGCTCAGTATCGGCTTGGAATTGAACAGGCACTTGAGCAAGCCGACTTTCTGAACCATCCAGATATGACTCTCCTTCAAGCACTCACCATATACTTGAGCGTCCTTCAGCATACCGGCGAGACGAAGATAGCCTGGGTCTTAGCCGGTGTCCTGGTCAGAGTAGCTGCGGCCATGAATCTCCACATCGACGGCTCAAAACATGCCCACATTACCCTCTTCGAGGCCGAGATGCGACGTCGACTCTGGTGGCAGATATGCTTTGTTGATTCGAGATCTGAAGTTTCACAGACTTCTGCATTCAAGCTATCCCAGGATATGTTCGATACCAAGATACCCACCAATACAAATGATGCAGACATTGATCCCAGCATGTCACGACTGCCTCTTCCTTTGCACGGGTGGACTGATATAACCGCCTTCCTTGTTCGCTGTGAAATTTGGAAATTATCTCGCCAACTTCAATCTATCACCGACACCAATCAAAAACGTGAAGTTTTGGAGAGAAGCGAAGCCAGGATCGACGAAAAGTATCTTACGCAGCTTGATCCCAATCAACCACTCCAATCCTTCATTGGAACAAGCATTCGGCTCTTCCTTTCTAAAATCAAACTGATGCTGCCCCCCAAGCCGAACTATGGAAACACAATAGCGGAGACCGAGCCAACAATACCAAGCAGCATATTCACATCGTGTCTGGCAGCGGTCGAGTACACGTACAAGGTACAAAACGAACCTGCTTGGAGTGGCTGGAGCTGGCAAATACGAGGTCGACAACCGCCATGGAATTCTCTGCGCTCCGTTCTTGGCCATTTGAGCACTGGGTCTTGGGAACCACTATACGATCGGGCATTGGCTTCAGCTAAAGGCTCTCTAGAAACATTGCCAGAAGCTGCTCTTAGCAATCCTCGGTACCAGCAGCTCTTGGTGTTGCTTTCAAGAGCACAAAAAAGGGCTAATGAGCATCATCCCCAAGGCTTTGCCCGATTAGCAAATGTACCTGCGGATCTGTTATCCCCAGCGGACTTAAATATATCAACGACATTCGAACAAACAAGCGTCAGCGACAATAGCTCAACTGCGATTCCACAAGAGTCATTCTTAGATATGCAAGATTACTCCGGTGCAGAAATGGATTGGCAGGCCTGGAATGAAATAGCTGGAGATCTGGAGATCTGGGATATGGGTAGCCTTTGATAATCATCTTCTCTGCTTACGCTGCTATACTTGCTTTGAAGTTCAATGTTCCTGCAAATCCGGGACAACTAAATCGCATTAAGTGATTTGCAGGCGTCTAGAATGTACCAGATACGTTAAGGACATTTTGGCACATATCGCCTTGCTTAAATTTTCATTTTACCAGAGTGGCATGGAACATTTAGCTGGCAAACAGGAGAGAACATTTAGAAAATCAGTACGAAGTGACCAAAAAACATTCAGAGTCACAACTCGTTGTATATAAAACTTTAAAGCCGGCCGAAGCATTCATTTTTCATTGCTTTCACCTCCCCAATCCTGCTGTGCTGTATTTGCTCCCATAATTTCAGGTGCCTTGCTCCCATGTACTCACTTGTTATTCTTGCATCTAGTCTTCGTGAACATCTTCATGTCTTTGGGGAGTATCATCTGGTTGTGCTTGAATTCCATCTCCACTCCCTTGTCCTCCCTGAGTGTCATCCCATAATGGTGTGGGTACCGAGGTGATGCAGCAGATCACGTATACCAATGGGTGGAGGTGCAGCTACGATGTCCTTGGTGTGTTTTTGAGTTCCAGGATCATTGGGGTCAAGGTTTTCACTGTGGGCGAGGTCTCGGGCCGTGTTGGACAGGATGAGTGGGTCGATATTTACTCGTGTTGGAGAGACGTGGATGAGGAAACCGGGGGACTGGGAGGGGTAGAAGGAGTGGACTTGCTTTGAGTTCCATGAGTTCATGAAGACACCGGCCCTGGATGTACTAGAAAGAAAACAGTTAGAAGAGAGAGGGAAGGTATTTGCTAAGCTGCGAATCTGATGTTTATGGGTTGAACTATGTCGTTTTGTTTAGGTCGGTACCAGTCAACGAGGTGGTCGTTCTGGGCCACCACCCCTTTCTACTTCCATGCCTCTTGATACTTCTCCACCTTGTTCAGCACCCTCTGCGAATCCACATCTTCTTTCCTTTTCCTTTCATGATGGATCGTGGCAGTTGAACGTTTGAGTTGTGGTTATTGAGGACATTGCGTGAATCTTGTGAAGTGATGGATGGGAGAGAGGTGGGAAATGAAAGGGAATAAAGGGGTGTTCAATCAAGATTTTGTATTTATTCGAATACACTTACGGGCATACGGGCTTATGTGCAAATGGCGTTTAGCTAAACAATAAATCGGATCCGGATCCGAGAGCGCCTCTGACTGCGTAGAGAAGGTGCAAGACAATACAAATCCGATTCTTTCGAACTTCGGCCTTCGGTCAACAATGGAAGGTGAGCTCCCTACGACTGAGTATGTTGTATATTTCCACTGGATAACTTACATGAAGACAGGAACTGCACTTGCAGAATCATGGGGAAGGCAATTGGAAGGTGTAGTTTCCAAAAAGGTATTATGCATTCTGTTCTATGTAAGGGTAAATGTACAACCATCTGCGAATCTTAATCTTCGTCTTTATATCTGGATGTACTTCATACTCACCAATCATCACTCAATCAATCAACGCCTGTATCATGCTTCGCTTGCTCCCCCTCAATGGGAGGAGGCGGTGGTAACCCTCCTAAGCCCAATCCCAACCCTGCAGCCTCGCCACTCAACACCCTCGCAATAGCAGCATCGCTCTCAAACTGCCTATCCTTCGCCTCCGGACTCTTGCTTTCCGCCCTCATCCCCAGAAAAGGATCAATCTCCGCCTTGTCCGTGCATTTCGGACTAGTAGCCTTACCCGCAGGCCCCTTCCCAACAATCTTCTCCGTCCAGTTCCATCCCTCAGAACTCTTCCTCCCACCATGCTCTTGCTCCTCATCAGAATCAATCTCGCTATCCGCCCAATCCCTCTCACTCCAAGCAGCATCGCTGTCTGCCCTCTCATACCGTCCCCTCGTCGCCCCCGCCAAACTCCCACTCGCAACCTGCAAACTGATTCCCGTCCCGGCCATCGCTTTCCCCAGACTACCTTTGCTGATCCCTCGCCCCAGCGCCGAGACGGAATCCTTGGCTTCGCGTTTCTCGGAATCCGTGCGGTCTGCTTCACCTAGCATGTGGATCTCAGGATCATGATCTGGCTTGGGAGTTTCGTTGGTTTCACCACCTTCTTCATCAGGCTTCTCGTTCTCGTCTTTCGCTCTTTCTTGGTTACTTTCCAGATCATCGCGCGTAGTCGCCGCTGCCCCGTCAGAGAAATGTGTATCGCATAAATGTTTAATGACTGGCCAACCATAAGCGTTGGCAAACTCACGACGTACGATCATGTTATTGTGAGCATCTGGCTCTAATCGTACAAGCACCTTTCGCCACGAGAGATCACGATGGTAGGCGCGCGCGATTTTTTCTTCGACTTTCATTGCTGAGCCGTCGACTACGTCGCGGGGGTCTTTGTCAGGATTCGTGTTCTTGGTGTCGTCGTAGTCTTTTGATGAAAGGCTGGAATCGGTGTGCGGTACACTGAGAGCGTTTGGATCGCTTAAAGAGAAGGAGTGCGAGCGTCGACGAAGGTGCAGGGAGCTTGTTGGACGCTTCTTCAAGGGAGGAGGTGGGATGTCTTCGGGGTGGTAGACACGGTCGTGGAAGATCGTTCGGGGACGTTTTGTGGGATCGATTAAGAATTCAACGGAAGGGAGAGGAGGCTTAAGCAGGTCGCCTGCGGACTCGAAGAATGTTGTTTTAGGAGGCGCTGAGAGGCGTTCTGGATCTCCGTGCTCGGCGTCGCCAGTTGTAGCTTTTCCTTCAGCTTTCTTGGGGGATGTTTCGTTGGTTGAGAGAGTAGGGTCTGATTCGCTGCTGCGGATACTGAGCGTTTGGCTGCGCTTGTAGATCTTGCTGTGCTTTGGAGCGTTGTTGTGAGATTTGGTTGACGGATTGGAGGGTTGGAAGAATTTCATGATACTTGCTAGAGGGCCTTCATTGTTGGTAGTCTCGCCGGCTGGGCTTGGGAGATCACTGCCGCCGCCAAAAGACACGGCAGAATGTGGGCGTTCTTTCAGGCTTCTTGCATCATCGTCATCGGTGGCATATGGAGGAGGTTGTGGGACGTCTCCGCCATGGCCTTGTCTTGTTGGAGTATTGTCTCCGGTTTCTTCACTGTCACTCATACCATTTTCTGAAAAGGTCCGCCTCATCGGTGAACCAGAATTTGCACCGGTGATTTCAGCCCATCCCCATCCCGCCATTGTGCCTACCAAGCCGTTTTCTCTCCTGGCCTTTTCGACACGGCCGAGACCTTGCCAGTCAAGAAAGAGCAGACAACTCGTCCGCAGTGGGACAATCCCATCGTTCACGACATTAGAGTAAACAGTGCGATTTCGGAACTTCTTCAAGACAACATGAGCAGGTCCAGTCGGCAAGATCCGCAGAAGAGGTTTTGATTCAGGGGGCGTTTCTCCCTCAATCTTCTTGTGAGCACTCTCACTAATACCTCCAACAATGGCTCCCCATCCACTTCGAGCAATGGTCGGCGGACGCCACGTCAATCCTAGATCCTGACCTGTCCTTCCGACGAGACCAAAGTCTAGGGCAAATTTGACATACAGCGGGTTCTCATTGCTGAGGCCTAAAAATGGTGACGCCATGGCAATAAAATTGATCGGTTTGATCCTGTCGAAGAATTCAGGTGAGTGCTTTTGAATATACGCAACAGCATATGTCTGGATCAGACCACCAAGTGAATGGGCAATGAAGCTAATACTCGTGATCTTGTACGCCAATTTTCTGTCATCGTAAGGCTCCTTGAGAATCGTGCTGTTATGATGACTTGGAATACCGTCTTCCATTTGCTTTGGCAGTTTGTTTGGGTCGGGTTTGAGGGCATGAGAGAGTGCTTCAGCTGCTGATTTCTTAGTGACTGGCTTATATGGCTGATCCGGGTAGGTCATCTGGAGGACGTATTTTGCTAGTCGTTTGCCAAGGTACTTGATACCCCTCTCAGTCCGTACAGCATTTCCAGAGAATCCTCTCACGATAACTTCCTCTTCGTCCTCGTCCTCGTCTAAATCCTCTTCTCGTTGCTGTCCTGGGGGTTTCTTCTCGCCAGTTTCGTCTTTTCGTTCGGCGTTATGGTGCTCCTGTTGACCTTCCCCAGCTTTGGCAGCCTTCTCCTTCTCCTCTTTTCTCCTCCTCGTCCTCCTTTCCCTGGCATCAATCTTGGCCTGCTTCGCCGTAGCATCAATACTCTCCTTTAAATACAACATATCCGCCCCCAAATTACTATGCAGCCCATGCGTCAAAACTACCAAATGGACCTTCTTCTGCCCCTTCTTCCTCCGCTCCTCCCCTTTTGCCTCCGCCTTCGTCATCACACTCTCCATCGCCTGATTGCCCGCAGGCTCCATACACCTCTCATTCCCACTCTCATCCCACTCCGGCATGCGCGGCGAATTCCAAAGACTAGCCGTATCATCCACCCTCACTCTGATCGCCTTACTAAACACTCCCTTAACCAACGCATTATGCTTCCCCTCCTTAGCCCCCACACTCTGCTGATGATCACTTACTTGCCCCGGAACCCCTCCCCCACTTCCACCTGCAGTCGAACTCCCGCCCACAACATGCGAATTAAGGCCCGACACGAACCCCAAACTGAGACTCTTCTCGTCCCTCCCCAGCAAAATCTCATAATGTACCGCCGCACTATTGGAGAATATAACCTGGCTAGACACCTCCACTACCCAAGACACACTCTTCTCCTCTCCATCCCCCTTCCCATGCCCCGCCGCCTCCCTCACAAACTCCGGCACATTCAACGTCGTTGAAAAGCTCGCCCCGGCTTTCAGCTGCGGCTCAAACTCCGGTACTCCCCACGTTCTCGGGTTCTCGAACTTCTCATTGGGATGGAAGTTCGCTGGTGCGGCAGAAGCATAGAGGGTATAGGGACCGTGGATGAATGCAGCGCGGAGTGCGATGGCTGTTGTGTTTTTGATTCGGAGGTGGAGCAGGGAGGGAGAGGGAAGGATGCGGTCGTGTGCCGGGGTATAGGTTATTGTGTAGCGGACGACTTCGCCGATTTTAAGGGTGCCGGATTGGTGGAGGAGGAGCATGGCGTCGGTGATTGTTTATGTCGAGGGCTGTGATGAGGAGGCTTCGGTGTGGGGTAACCTTAGATGGTAGGGCTGACGGAAGAGCTTGTCATAAAGCCATGGTGAATGGTTAGGATCGCAAGCAGATGTTCAAGGTCTGCAAAAGTTAGGGAGTCGGATAGTGGTGGGGCGGAGGATGTTTTGTGGTCTTAGAAGATGCACGCGCCCAGCTCGTCGATAGCTCGTCGATCGCGTTCATGTCCGGCTTCCGAGCACAAAAATGACGTTGTGTGGCGGTGCGCCAAGACAACACTGCCAAAGGACTCATGCGATGCGAATCTAAGATCACAAGTTGCAATTCAAAGGAATGTCCAGGACCAGTTTGCCTGCGAAGACGGGCTCATGAGTCGTTAATTGTTGTAATTACATAGCTATACATGTGCAAATGGGTATCTGTGAAAGTAAAGAATCATGATACCGCCGCGCCCGGTGGCTGAATCAAAATACCCCCTGAATTAGCTCTCCCGGCTCAACCGAGAGATCAAGGCATCCCAGAGTGGTACACAGTTCATGATGCGAAGACGGCGCACTCAACTGCCACCCTCCAGCCGTGGATGTGCTCCACCACCCTGTTCGTAAACGGATCAATGTCGCAGTCAGAGAGCAGCCGCATTTCAACCATATTCAAACGACCAACATCCCCCAATGTTCTAATAATCCTCACTTGAGGGGGAGATGACTCCCTCTTCAGGGGTGGCATTAGGATAGACGTGTGTCCTCCACGCGTTGACTCGGTTCGTTCCTCTTCTCGCACCCCTCAATCCCGCAAGAACTGCGGGCGTCGGTTCGGGTCTTGCGGGAGGTGGCGGTTGAGGAGCCCTCGCAACAGGAGCATGGACCGCAGCCTCACTTTCATAGTCCGTTCTGGTTCTCCTCGGCACAGCTCTCTCTGCAGGCGGAGCCCGCGAGTTATAAACCTGCTCCCGCATCGTATGCCGTCTCAGCATCGGTGGGGGAGAAGGTAGTCGTCCGGTTCGGGGAGGAACCGGATATCGTTCTGCCATCCTTCGCGGTCCCGGCGGTGGAGGCGGCGGTACTCCTCGGGCGTTTGCGACGCCCGTAACGTAGTTTGCTGCTGCTGCTGCTTGGTCGAAGTTTCCGGTCAAAATGTTGCGTGCTTCTCGGATATAGTCCTGATTCATGAAATGTCCGGCACCGTTTCCGATGCCCTGGATGCCACCAATACCGCCTTGGTAATCCTCTTCGTCTTCCCCATCAATATCCATTCGCTGAAGCCAGCGAGCGAATTCCTCATCCGCTCGCTCTTGACGTCGACGCTCGTCGACGTCGCCATGGTAAGTTGGTGGGCGCGGTCTGCGAAGTCGGCGAGGTCTTTCTGGCAAGTCAGGTCCACCCTCCACGTCCTCTGGCGCCTGCATATGGTCAAGTCGGTCCGCTTCGACCGCTTCGTAGTTGAACCAGGGACAGTTGCAAGACTTCCACTTGAGGCCACATATCATGCAAAACTCTGCTGTGCAGCGACTATACACTGTTAGTAATAGTCCAACTATAGGGGGAAATATGATTACCAAGTCATGTGATTGCAGCCTTCCTTCAGCTCGACCATTGTCCGACAGTTATAGCATCGTTGCCATCCCGCTTCTTTAGCCGTTTCAAGGAGGCGATTCGTTTCTTCGTCTTTCGGACAGTCCTTCGTGCCATGCCACTTCCCATTACACAGACAGCAGACCCTCATCTTACAGCGACTACATTTTCCAACTTTCTTCCCGTCTTCCTTATGAATATTGCTAGGCTTTATCCATTCGCCACACCGCCTGGCAGGACAATATATACGGTTCTTGGTTGAATACTCTGCGAATTTCCTATTCCATGTCTTTTTGAATTCCATGTCAAATATCTTCTCAACATGTTTCAACGGTATAAAATCTTCGGTACAACACTTCGGTGGCATATGTTGAGGGTCGTTGACCGACAGCTTGAAAATTCGTTTCAGACATGACTGGCACATGCGGTGGCCACATTTTAATTTTGCAGATTTCGATTGTGGGATATCGTCCGATAGACAGGTCAAGCACGTAACACTACCGGGGAGTCAGTACAATCTTGCGGCTGGTAAGAAAAGTAGTCTTACAGCCTCTCTGGCTCAAGCTGCTGTGGCGCTGGAGTTAACCACCAACTTCCTAGGAAGCTTGACCGCCTATGCGTAGAACTTGAAATCGATGGCGCCACTTTGGCAGAGCGTATAGAACTCGTCGTGCTGCTTCTCTTGGGTAATGGTCGGGAACTGGATGGCGGGTATCTTGTTGAAGCGCTCCTGAAAAAATGATATCAGCCCTTGCCACTACCTATCTTCATTGTTGCAAACCTTTTCGGTCGTGAAGGCGGTGCTTCAGCAACGGAATCTCGACGAGAGCGGTGAGATCTACTTCGATGAATCGATTCTTCAGAATGCCTCGGACGCTCTGATGACTCTCTCGATGTCCTCGAAGTTCTCTCCTGATGCTTCAGAACCTTCGCCTCCTCTGCTGAGACATATATGACCTTTACCTTCCTCTTCTCTTTCACTGGATCTGATTGTGTGGCATGACGCTCCTCTTCGTCAGTTGACTCTCCATCCCTTCCCAGTCTTCGGGTCTCTGTCACTATAACGCGCGAGGACCTCTTTTTCTCTTCAGGCGCACGATAGACATACTCCGCAGGTTCGTCCTTCGGCGCAGATTTCCGCCGGCTGTGGCTCTTGCTCTCAGGACTCCCATGGCGATGGCTCCTTCTCCTATGACTAGTCGTACTTCTTATGCTCGGGAGCGTCGCCTGAGATGCAGAGGTCATCTTCGAATTCGATGCAGTTCTGTGAGTCGAGGTGCTGCCCTCAAGTCTATCTACTCTCATTCTGCGCACTTCAGCGGCTGGATCACGCTCTCGCCCCTTGCCACCACCCGATTCGTAGTGTCTTTCGCCCACATCCAATCGTCGTCGCGTCCGCACCCTGCGCTCGCCATCAGCGGACTCTGAATTCGCCATTCGAGTGCGCGCAAACCCGAACCCCTCAGACGTTGGGCATTTGGTAAGTCCAGTGGGTGGAGGGGTTGGGAGAGAAGGGGCCTCAATTGAGCGTGTCGAACATCTGTTCGCTTGGGATAGGTTGTGCGGTCTGCGCGCTGACCACGATTGGCTTCACCGACAATGCATTATGCAGCTGAAAGGTCTCTCGTGCAGGTATGCAAGCGTGACACCGACTTCTGAAACTGCCAATGAGGGTATCTTTGTCTTGGGGGCCAGAGTACAGTCTGGGGAAAAGGGGGTATTTGGGCAAATACTTTGCGCCTAACGAATCTGGGGTTGAAGCTTTTCTGGTGATATTTTCTTGAAGTTGCTGGGATAAGCGCCTGCATGAAGATCTGAGAAAGGGGGTTGGCACGGCCCGTGCTGTGGGGCTAGCCCGCTTTTGGCGCTCCACTTTCACGTCAACCATCTCTTGAGGCGCATGCAGCATCGTCTTGCGAACTCGCAACATGAATTGCCGAAGAGGATGCGATTGCGAGATGTCCAACTTTGAACACCATTCAATTGATTCCCAAGCACCCAAAGTTTGTATTGGTTTAAAGTCCGGCAGTCCGGGTTTGCCAGGTACCCGCCCGAGTTTGGTGTCGGCCTTGTCGCCTCGTTTTTCACTGTAGCCTCACCTGCGGGGCCTCACTTAATGCCGTCAACTATTGGCTTGAATGGAAAATGGCTGATGAGTCCTTACCATGATTTGTCCTGTTTCATTTGACAATATTTGCTGCCCGGCCTGAACCCCACAAGCTCAGCGGCAAAGAGAAATTAACGTCTCGTTCCTCAACACGCAAGTATCATATCCACCCAACGATCTGGCAAGATGATGGCCAAAAATAGTATGCTATTGGTTCTCTTGTCCGAATCGGGATTTCTATACACTATTAGTTCTTGTTTCAAAATTTCAGTGTTTTTGAATCCTTACCGAACCCCAAGCTCCTGCGTGAGAGGCAAAACTGTTAACCATTATGAGTACACCACTGTTTTGAATTGGTTGTGCTAAGAGGGACGGATTCTAGGGAATCTTGTGAAGGTAGGTTAGAGTTCTCCTTTTCGAAGAGATGGCCATAGCAAGGGCGAAACGTATTACCATGCGGCCCCATCCCCACGTTTAACGGAGACTAGGTATCGACAACTTGTAAGGCATTCAGAAATAGTTCCTCTTTTAGCCACAGAGCTGCACTTCTAACGCAAGCAACCTTCGTTTGTGCTTCCATATTATACAATATAATCTTACACCTCCCAATATCCACGCTATGCACTCACAGCCGCAACCTTTTCATCCAACAACCTCGCCATCTGCGCCTCCTCGTCCTCTTCTACCACCCCGTTTCCCACCCCTCCTCCCTCATTCAACCCCAACCTTCCCATCTCCTCCCTAACCATTTCCCTGGTTATCATCCCCACCGCCTTCCCCTCCCCGTCCACATGCTCCCACCTCTCTCTCTCCTTCCTCACAACCCCCTCCAAGCTCATTACCCCCACAACCAGAAACCCCAACTCCTCCCTCTCAACATCAAATACTTCCCACCACTCCGTCTCCGGCAACTTAACCCCCTCCTCCCTCGCACTCAAATAAATCGCCGCCGTAGCAAGCGCATTAGGCTGATGCGTCAAATACAACATCTGCGGACTCAACAGCGCTGTATTAAGATACTCCACCGTCCTCTTCGCCACAATTTTGCCAGCAGACGAGGAGAAGACGTCGAGAGTTTGGAGATAGGTGATTGCGAGCGGATGAGGGAGAGCAACGTGTGTGTTGAATCCTAGCGCGTTGAGGATCTGGCCTTCGATGTTTAGGAGGCGGTTGCGGAAGTTGATGTAGGAGGTTTCGGAGAGATAGTAAGATTCTGGGTCTGGAGGCGTGGCGAAGGGGTTGGTTTGTGGTTGCGGCAAGAGGTGGGAGGAGGGGGAGAGGAGGTAGGCGTATACGTTTGTTATGCTCCTTAAGGAACGTGGGGACGCGGAGATCTTGGCTGTTAGATAGAGGACGCTTGCTGATACATCCTGGCAAGAAGTCAGCATCTCCCATTGCAATGCCTGGAGGGATACGCACGCTAAATTCCCACGCAAGCAGCGGGTCGACGAGCCAGTAACGATAGAGAAGTATGTTGGCTTGCGCCGCTATATCTTGTGATAATCGGAGGAGTAACCCGGCGGCTTGTGTTAGACGCGCGGTATAGAATCGGATGCTGTTTTGGAGGTCCGGGGGGAGGGGGGAGTTGAGTGTGTTGAGGGCGTAGAGTTGGGCTGGTGTTGCGAGAGGGTTGGTTAGGTGTGACATTGTGGCGGATGTATGCTAAATTCACGCAATGGGAGAGGAAGATACAGACGAGTTCTGCAGGGAAGCGTTGAGGACCGTAGTGTGGTGTTGTTAATCTTGGCCGACAAAGTGAGGTGTGGATTTTTCGGCCTGTCGCGCAAGGCTGCGATTTTTACGTCAGCCTTGTTGAATTTCAACCTGAGTATCACTTTCAGGGGCTTGGGTTTGCAGATATGTTTGAGGAAAACACCTATTTCTTTCGCAAGAGAGTGGGAAGCAAGAAGTATGTGTATATCACCTCGCCACAATGCATTAGGACAGAAGCTAGAGAAATCATGAATGTATTTCCGCCCTGGCTTCCAGAGTCATCTCCTTGGGTATCACCACAAACTGTACCTTCTAGTGTGAAATACTCCTACAAACGCTTGCGAATCTTGCGACGTGGATAACCCCCGGTCAAATCCGCAAACGCCCCCAAGTGCAAATATCCTCCATTTTAGATAACCTAATAACGCCGATCCCTGTCATCTCTCGAATCCATTCTCGGACGGAAGCTCTCATAAACTCTGTGTGGTGGCCTGTCTCCATACCCCCCGCCACCTCTGCCACGATACCCACCATCTCGATCACGAGGTGGTCCTCCTCTGCCTGCGCCTCCTCGGCGCTGATCTGGTGGAGGTCGAATACCAGGGAAGATCTCCGGTCCGCGATCTACCAATTTATCTCCGTCCTCGAATATGTATCGGTTGATTGGACCCGTCATCCGCTTCCCAGCAGCTGCATCCTTCGACATCGCAGCATCGATATTGTCCAGTCTCCTGTTGGCCAAGTCCTTGGAAACGGGTTGGTAATACAACATAGGCTTCGCAGCCGTTGACTTGAACAGCTGGTCCAACTTCTCCATCGGGGCTCCCTGCCCACGAATATTGAACGCTCGAGGAGCAGAGGGTGGCTCAATGCGTCGTGGGGCTTGCGGCGCTTGAATTGGCGGGACAGGAATCGATGGTCGACGAATATGCTGTGCTGGTCGGATACTGCTCGTCTCTTGTAAAGTAGCTGTGACATGGCGATCCTCATCAACATCATAATATACCTCCCACTTCTTCGCAGAACCGCGCCCGCCACCTTCTGCCTGCTCTCGTTCAATCCATTCATCAAGCTTCTCTACTGGTATGAAGTCGACCCACAGGGGCTTCCGAGTCTTTTCGTCAGGCCAGATGCGGTCATGCAGAGCAGATCGAACCCGTGATGCTGCGGATGTGTTGGTGAAGGAGACAAATGCGTGGGTGCGGATTGTATCGATGTAGAAATTGACAATCACTTCTAGATCAGGTTCTTGGCCTGGTGGAGCGGCCAGTGTTGCGAGGTATGATTTGAGTTGGTTTGGATTGAGAGGACGCATGATGTCGCGGATGTAGAGAGTGGACGTCGCAGGATGGGTAGCAGGATCAATGACTCGATCTGGCTCTACTTCTTCGGAGGAATCGTGAGACCGCGAGATAGCCATTGCTGTGTCTTGTGATTCCCCGGAGAAGAGATTTTTGAATTGTCTAGAGTCGCGAGTCTTCGAAGGAGAGTCGTCGTCGAATGTCGCGCTTTCTCTTTTCGGAGCCTCGTCAATTTCCATCCTCTCCTCTGACTTTGGCTGAACACCACCCATCTGAACATCATCAATCTTCACCTCCTCTTTCGAATCATCGACGATTGTAGGTGCCAGCTCGGCGCCATCAAAGGCAACTTCCTTTACTACAGCAATAGCTTCTGCCTCGTCCACTGCATTGTGCTTCCCCACCCAGTCGGCGCCTTCCTGTGTGGTCACAACTCCTTCCATTCTTTCCCCATCCTCGTCATTACGAAATCGCTTTCGCACAGAATCGGCAGTCGATGGTGGAGGACTCTGTGATCTTCTTTTCCGCTTCTGTCTATCGTCAATTGCTTCCTGGGGTTCCACGGAAGGGAGAGCCGATTCATGTGTGTCATTTTGCGCCGAAGCCTGCGACGATTCGACGGTATGTGTAGGTTGTGTCGGCAAGGGTTCGCTTTGGAAATCAATCACAGAAGACTCTTGGGGGGCGCTGCGAGATGCCGTAGGAGGCTCCGACCTTTCCGTCGTCGCCTGGAGGGCGGTTTCTGCAAGCAGATCGGCGTTCACATCTGATGTTGGCACTGTGGGCGAGTCGGTATCTGGAGAAGTCGCAGAATTCGTATCCGCCTTGTTCGCGTCATCCTGGATAGTAGCCTCGCTCTCTGATCCAACCTCCTTCTCTGCAGCCTCAAGTCGAGCGACAAGCACAGGCTTGAGCCCAGTTTGAGCCAGACCGCGCTTTTTGAGTTCGGCTTTGAGGTCGACGACCTTGAGTTTACTCCAATCGGTCATGGTGAGTGTGGTGAGCAAGTCGCGCGACTGGGCATTGTTTAAAGGAGAGTGGGGTTGTGGTGGTTTGAAGGTGAACTGCCCCCTTGCTTGCTGTACATAGGAGGAACGGGAAATATCCTACGTTTCTTCGTGACGCGTCGAGATTTGAGAGGCAACCTTGAATATAAGGCGAAAAGCAAGGCCGAAGATATTGGCGTGGTGAATTCAGGGGTGCGTTGGGCAATGCTGACACTAGCATTCATACGCACTTCAATAAGGCAGAGGAGACCCAAAACAGCAAGCCAGATATGCAGTGGAGGAGGAAAACGAAGAAACCCAGTTCAAGGGGGAAAGGTTATTGGTGTCACGTGCCACGTTGCGAGCTTACCTTCATCAACGCTGTCGCTTTCCTCTGCAGCTGCAACCTCTCTAGTTTCAAGTCTCATCGTATGTTGAGACCAATAAGTTCATGGCCTCGGCCTGGGAGAAGTGAGAAGTACAGTCGGTCCGCACACGACGACAAAACGGTCTCTCTTTTATGCCCACAACAACTTTTTAACCACTACCTGAATTAAATTACAGTATAACCTCGATATAAGGATACCGAAATTGTCCCAAAAAACTAAGGATAATGCGAGGTATCCTTATAACGGGGTGTGGCACACAGCAAAATTAATCCCTGCGGGGCCAGCAGATGTATCCTTAAAAACGAGGATATCCTTATCTCGGGTATCCTTATCTCGAGGTTATACTGTAATACTAAGTAATGCAAGAGTAGAATCCATGATTACGTTGTCTATCGTTCAGCTGATCTCTAGATATGTGATGACTAAGAACGAACCAGGAGGAGCATTGCCGTGAAATGCGGTTGTATGGAATATAATTGAGATATGGAAGGAAGTGAGGTGTGGGGCGGAGGGCCGGAGCTAAATACAGCGAATATGGTCACGTGAGACATATTCACGTGACCAGTATGCAGTTTCCATGCAACAGGCGCCATGCCGCTAGGAGAATTATAGAGTAGAATGAAGCGAATAAAATATATTAACACGAATCTTAATACGATTCGTAATTAATTAATAATCAAGTTTTGAAGTTTACGAGCGATTTTGACTTTTTTTTTTGACTATAAAACGCGAAAATATTTTAGGAAAGTCACGTGTGCCCAAGTAAATAGCGTATTTAAGTTAGACTTATAAGGCCCCTTAAGCTTTATAAGCGTACTATAGACTATATGCAGTAGAAGCTCAAATTTTAAGAGTTACTATTAAAGAGAGTATATATAAAGTATCAAGAGTCTATGAGATAAATCACGTGTGACCTCGTATACTATACGAGGCGTGAGTTTTGATCATGCGGCACTGCCCGCACCAATATGGACCCCTGGTATGGTGCGGATCAGATACGTCGAAAATGAGCGATACGGTCGCTCTTTTTCCCCTAACCAAAAAAACTAGATCTTTTAATAACTTCACAACGTAACACAGGATCTTAAGAAAAAGTTTACTGTATATGGAGGTACGCCTGATAATTATGCAATTTTGGCGTCTTTCAATTTGAACTTTATGAAATTATAGAAGTTATGACACAAACGACCGTATCGCGGTGACGAAAACCGTATCGCTGATACGTACCAGCCCGCAGGGACGTAGGGGCTTTGGTACAAGTCCTGACACACGATTAATTACTATATTAAACGCGAAAATTTCTATGCAAGGTCGTATAAAAATAACCACGTGCTTTGTAACTCCCGCGATATTAAAGATATTAAAAATCGGAGATTAATGGCTATAAGATACACGATAATTCCGATTAATACGATTTGTATCAATTGGTATTGTGTTAGATTTTCTTTTGCTTTGTCGTTGTTCTATCGGACCGATTGTACCTATCGGAAACGTGAGCTTCCGGAGACCAGGCGAGTGCCACACGTGGCCAGTGGTGACAAGGATCGACCAACAAAGTTGATAGAGAGACGAGGCAAGCCACATCCATCCTATATCTGCCTTGTTGAACATCTCTTCCTCTTCACTTCTCTCCTTCTTCACTTCTCTCCTTCTTCATTTCTCCCCTTCTTCATTTCTCTCCTTCTTCACTCTTTCTATACCTCATATCTGATTTGAATCTAATTACACTTTTATGGACCATGCTGCTCACCATCTTGTTTTCCGCCATCGCTTGTGTAAGGTGTCCCCTGTCCACGGGTACTAACAGCTAGTGCTCCGCCTTTGCTTGAGGCTGACTGGATCAGTATTTCGTCTATTCTTTGGGTGTTGCTCTTTACAACATCACTCTCCATCCGCTTGCCAAAATCCCAGGGCGTAAAATAGACGCAGCTTTCTCTTTCCCCTCTCACTGGGATATTTTGACAGGTGACGCTGTGAAGAAACGCAAACTGCTGCACGACCGCTACGGACATACAGTCCGAGTATCCCCTTCGCTTGTATCCTTCACCAATGCTGAAGCATGGCAACGTATAAAAAGAGTCCCATAGAGTATTAGTTGTTTTCTGACGCACACATTTAGCAATTTATGGCTACCAGAATCCTGGCAGGAAACAGCTCGACAAGGGCTACTACGCGGAGAAAGGCGAAGTTCCGAGTATCTTTGGTCAGGACCTTCTTATTTTATCTGTCACTTTGCTCACATACGACAGTGGCAAATGTTCCGGACCACACAAGGATGAGACGTCTGTTAAACCACGCCTTCTCGGAGACCGCTCTTCGGGAGCAGGAGCCACTGATGAATTCTTATTTTGATCTGCTTATCCAAAAGCTCCACGAGAAGATCGGAAGCCCTACAAACGGACGAGTGAACATTGTTCGGTGGTTCAATTTCACCTTGTTTGATTTGGTCGGAGACTTGTGCTTTGGTGAAGACTTCGATGCTCTCAAAACCGAGGAGTACGTATGATCTCACAGTTTATTGAATGTCTCTTGCATTTACGTAATCTCGAGGCTTTTCTTCTTGTGCCGTCCCTATTCTCAAGTGAAGCAATACTAACCACTTACTTCCAGCTACAACTTCTGGATCGTGAACATCTTCAAAGGCGTCAAAATCGGACATATTTTCGTCGTACTGAAAGCGTATCCACTTATCGGAAAGCCTATAATAAAACTCATGGAAGCCTTCCCGGCCCTGCAAAAGGGCCGCGAAAAGCATGATCAATACTCCAAAGCCAAATCCGAGCGCCGCCTTGATAAGCACACTGACAGAAAAGACTTCATCAGGTTTCCTCCCTTCCCCTCTTTTCAACACTCTACTAATGAAAGAAGTTATATCCTCCGCCATAACGATGAAAAAGGCATGTCGAGAGAAGAAATAATCAAGACAACCAATCTCCTCATCATTGCAGGCAGTGAAACGAGCGCAACTCTCCTATCCGGCGCTATGTTCTACCTCCTCAAGAATCCGTCCACGCTCAAGAAACTCGTTACTGAGATCCGAACCTCCTTCCCAGATGTGAATGATGCAGAAGCTGGCTAAGATGCCGTATCTGAATGCCGTGCTGCAAGAAGCGCTCAGGGTATATCCGCCTGCTCCTGGGCTCTTTTCCAGGAAAATGCTTCCCGGCGGCGCGGTGATTAATGGGTATTTTATCCCTGCGAACGTAAGACAACTCCATTACTTCTTCATTACTTTTCTGTTTTCGATACCGGGGTCTGACAATGAGTAGGCGTCAGTAGGCGTCCTCCAATACGGCGCCTTTCGCTCGGCATCCAACTTTGCCGATCCCGACTCCTTTATCCCGGAACGCTGGCTGGAGCCGAGAGAAGAAAGGTTTATGGAAGATAAGAGGAACGTGTTGCAGCCGTTTAGTGTCGGACCGAGGAATTGTATTGGTCAGGGTCTCGCCATGGGGGAGATGCGGGCTATCCTTGCGAGGGTGTTGTGGCATTTTGACTTTGAGTTGTGTAAGGGGAGCGAGAATTGGGATCAACAGAAGGTGTTCTCTTTGTGGGAGAAGGGGGATTTGTGGGTTAGGATATCGAAGAGAGGTGAGTGAAATTCCAATCGGCTTCATGGTAAGCGGATCAGTCACCCGATATACAATAAATCTTGATTGGCTACTTCAAACTTCAAAGTTATGAACTCGCTCTCCAGTCTCCCTTCCCCAAGCTTCTCAATCACTCTTCATCCACGATGCATGTGCGTACGAATCTCCGATAAATGTCCAGGTGATTTCAGGACTTTCGGATTCATTCGCTCGGACTATGTGGGGGACTTTGCATCCGAAGAGGACGGCGATTCGGTCGCTGGGAGCGGGGATGGCCGGAGCTAAACCCATGTACAGTATCCTTTCTCTGGGATGAAAAATTGACGGCGGCAAGTGCTCCTAATACCCAATTTGTCGAAATCCACCACTTCTTGCGTGACCAAAGCAGCATCGATAGGCTCTGAACCAGATTTCTCAACACACCATTGCACTAGCTCCCAGCATGAATCGTATGTTTTGTAAGCTTTGACTTCGGTGCCTCTCAATACCGCCCACCTAGTCTTCGCACAACCGCCTGGGTTGACAACCGAGTACGCCGTATTCATACACAGGGTGCGCCAGAATGTGTTCTCCATTGCACACCCTGTTATATAGCCTTCTGACAGGAGCTCTGCCGTACCATACCGTACCAGGACTTCGAAAGAGCAGCATTTGCTGCCCTCACCATTTCGTTCAATTCTTTCCCACCTAGGCGATCGTACCCCAAAACAGGCAATGCACAGATAGAATCTCAATGCTGTTTGTTTTAACATCTCACTTCATTCCTCTAAATGCACTATACAGTCGAAGATGACCTTGTCGAAAAAGAAATGTCTCGAATAGGACTGCTGCTGAAGTGCGGGCTTCCAAGTTTGGAACCCATGAGGGAACTACCGTCTTTGCCCCACTTTCATCAACTGGCGTACTCTACAACTGAGAGTGCTCTAGCCTGAAGCATAAATGTTCCGCATAATAAAATTCGGAGCACACTGAATTTTAACACTGGAATCTGAAGTACTTTAGCTTCTAATACGGTAACAAAAACACTCTTCTGTAGCGCGTACTTTATTAACTTCCTCGACAGCCCTTTCAAGGCGTCCAAAGTAATAGGTCTCCCCGAATGCCAGACTTAAAAGTCAACAGACGCATTTCAGGATTTTCAAGGTCGTTACCGTTGACAGTTACAAGGTATGTGGACAGGACCCTTCAAGCATGTTTCACCATCTCCTGCCGCAAGAATGTCTGGGCATATTCATAAAGTACGATGGGTACATCAAGCCATTTTTCAGTCCATTTCTGGAGATCGGAAGAGCTTTGGCATAGAAGACTAATTCCCGATTATAGATTGCAATTTCCAGAAGAGCGACGGCTCGATAGTCAAGGAATCATAAAGTGATGGAATTAGACCAAAGTACCTGCCCATTTCGAGATTGATATCTGACATGATGCTGACAGAATTTCGAGAAGGTTAGCGTTATAGAAGAGATAGAGGATAGGGGAGAAAGGGGAGCCTTGAGGAATGCCTATTAGTATACTGAATTCCTTACTTAGGCCCTCAAAGAGCTTGATCTGGGTCTTCCTATTTATCAGGTAACTGGCTATCTAGTCAATGATTTCCGTAGGTAGTCCTCTCTTTCTCAAGTTATGCAATAGTCTCTTATGAAAGACATTATTAAAGGCACCCGAGATATCTAGTATAAGCAAGCTTACTGCTTTCCTTCTTCTCTATACTAAGTGAACCTTCTTAAGAGGAGATGAATAGCATGCTTATAGGAGGATTCTTTCCGGCCCCCTATATGTATTATCGGAAGCATATAGTATCTCTTAGCGTAGTACTATATTCCTCGGGCAAACGCTATATCCAAAATCTTTCCCATCATATTCATCAGAGCAATTGGTCGGTATGACTTGGGCTGTGAGTAGTTGTCCTTTCCGGGCTTCCTGAGTGCTACTGTAATCGACATCTTGAACTTGGCCGGACAGTATTTCATGCCCATCGAGAGTTTGAAGAGGGTCGTAAAGAGGGGGGCTAGCAGATCCGTGGCAAGCTTCAGGATTCTGTTCGGGCTCTCGTCCTCCCTTGGAGCTGGATCACATGCGGAGTGTGTGGTGTTCTTAAACCTAGGGTGATTAGCGAGCTAATTAGAATGAGTTTGAGGCGAGAGGCATAACCGATGCCCCGCACCAAAACACGTCCCGCATCAAAAACACGCGAATTCGCATTTCGCCCCGAACTTTAATAATTAATTACTCCACAACCACTTATCCAAATAAAATAATATTAAATCACAGGGTAGAGTCAATTGAGATCTTGAACTTGTACAATTCAGTTTTTTTGTCTAAAGCGTTATGGTAGCGTAATTATACGCGTACTCGTTTTCGCCTGTGCTACCCCCGATATGACTACCTCACTAATTTGGGCAATCACCTCTTGCTATACCACTACCTTTGCAGGGCGCCTAGCTTTGATAGGTGCTTTCCGCTTAGTTGACACCACTGGAGCAGCTTTTTTTGCCTTGGGAGTAATAGAAACTGGCTGCTTCTTGGGTGCTCTCTTGGCGGCCAGCTCCACGTCCCCCACCAATTGCTTCTGGACAGCCTTAGCCTCCCTATCTGCCGCTCTTTTTGCCTTCTCCTGTTTCTTTCTAAGGGCATTCGCGGCCCTTTTGATCTTTCTTTCCAATTTAGCTTCCTCCTCTGCGATTCTCAGCCTTTCCTTCTCTTCTTGGTACTCCCTAGCCTTGACAACCTTCCCAGGAGAATAGCAATCAATCAAGCCCTTATTTGCCTCGCCAGCAAGATTTAAACGAACGCCCTGTCGACCCTTCTTCTTTTGAAGCTCGATTGCTTTGTATAAACCTCGATTTTCATGCTCCAGAACAGAGACTCACGCGGCGAGGTGAAGCGTGGTTGAGAAAATCGTCTTGACCTTGTCAATCGTGGGTTCTTTATCGTATGCTTGATAAAATCGACGAATCGATTTCGCAGACCTTGGAGGACGTAATCCAGATGGTTTTTCAGGTAATACAAGTATAGGGCGAGTAATAGTCTTGATAATAAGACTACCATCGGTTAGCCATATCCCTGATTTGCAAAATGCCGATTGGATATTCTTTTCCGTAAATGCCTTGTCCCAAGACCTCTTAAATTTTGGCCAAAAGAAGCTTTTACTTATTCCAATAAGCCCGCCCGATTCATTCATTATTATATCAAGTTCCCAAGAGTATATAGTCAATAATGGTTGAAAAAGTCCGACGTTAAGGGGCTAAAGCCGGTGAGTCATATGTGGGGATAAAATTAATAAAATTATACCATATTAATTAGCCTAATTAATAAACGCCATATTAACGTGACTTGAATGCCCATTAATAATAAGAAGACGTTTTTGAGTCATACGTAGTAGTTTGGTATATTATTCAAATATATTTTGAAGCCAAGATAGCCCAATTATATTATTTGACTATCTATTATACGAAACCGTAAAATAAGCCTTTGAATCAGTCGTAACTTCGTTAACCCACGTACTCATAAGATCCCCCGATTCGCCTTGATATATTAAAAGCGGTAGTATCCATTTTCCGATTACAGATATGCAAGCTAAGATACTAATGAATTCGCGGCTTCTATCTTGCTTTGACTTGGAGATTCGACCCGATTCCAGAGTAGCTCTGGTCATAATTCTTTTCAAAGATCGCCCATATCCCATCAAGAACCCCTTTTCATCAAAGTTATATATATTTTCGGCCGTAATTCGATATTTCTCAATTACCATTGCGAGCTAGTAAAGCAGATATACGTCAGCAGATACCCAAGTAATACATATACAGAATAATAATAATAAAGCAACAAACCACGCTAAAAAACAATTGGAACATCAGAGCGTACTCAGCGCTAGTACGTAAATTATCGATATTTCGTAAATAAAGGCTCTTTAGCCTAATGGAGTGACGCTTCACAAATTGGCCAACCCAGTTCTTTCCTAGCGGCCCTCCCTTAATCTCCTCCGCAAGGTTTTTGATAATATAACTGGTCGGTGGCATTCCTCGATTAGTAAGAGTATTAATTCGATGAATTAAATACTCCTCTTGCTCGATAGTCAAACATTAGTACCAAAATGAATTCGCTTCCTTCTTTAACTTCGTGAGGCCACGGATTCGTCTGGAGACAGCGCTACGGTCACACTTGAACTCCCTAGCTGCATTAGTATAATGAGTAAACTCCCCTCTTTGAATTGCGGCTACTGCCTTATCGATACGACTTGATTTGATGAATTTATCGCGCATTTTGGTGGTGGTGTTGAACGTGTTTTTCGCGTGTTTTGGTGCGGGACGTGTTTTGGTGCGGGACTTCGGTTATCGAGTTTTGGGCATATTACGTCAGCTTTTTTTTATTTCTAATCATTCTCCACTCAGCTGACTTCAGTGTTTTACTCCGGATCTTTCATTCAAGTTCATACTTAGAATAAGGCCAGGGTGTAGTAGGATACTCAAATCTTTTCTCATCATCAATTTTATCTCACTACTATCATGGCTGCAAGCACTCGAAAACCAATCCTCATCTCTGGCGCGGGCATTGCCTCCCTTCTGCTTGCACAATCTCTCCACCGTGCCTCCATACCTTTCCAGATTTTTGAGAGGGATGCCTCGGTCTCCTTCCGAGGACAGGGATACAGGCTACGACTCTCCGAAGAAGGACTGGATGCCATTGAGTCAGTTCTCGGACCAGAGCAGTTCCAAAATTTCTGGGACACATGTGGCAAGACCGGGGGGAGTGGATTTTCGGCCGTTGACGCGATAACGGGCGAGAAGGCTTCTGCTCGTCCCGAGTCGCCGAAGGATGGGAATCGAGAAGACGTTATAGATGAGAAACCAAAGGGCCGAACTAACAACCTCGCCTCCCGCGATGGAAAGATCATTGGGATATCAAGGGGCAATATGCGCAAACTCTTCATGTTCGGCTGCGAATCTTACATTCAATGGTCTCACCATGTCACGGGCTACGAATTGACAGGCTCTGGTGTCCGTGCCGTCTTTGCAGACGGCTCCAAATCCGTCGAGGGAGATATGCTGATCGGTGGGGAAGGTATCCACTCCAAAGTCGCAAAACAGGTATCTCAAGGAATGTTGAAAGTCTATGACACTGGTGCTCGAGGGATCCACGGCCAATCACCAAGCACAGCGTTCAAAGGCCTGGGGGAAGGCGTTTGGCGAATCGTCGACAACTCCAATCCGGACAGACGAGTCTTCCTTATGACGAATGTCCGACCGGGGGAAATGGATGACCCCAATGTTCAATTTGGTTGGACCATGGGAGGTCCTCCAGGCTCCATCAAGGCCCCAAATGATGACTATTCCATCATTGGGAAACCAGCAGCTGAGATCGCGAAAGCACTGACGGCGAATTGGCACGCTAGCCTAAAGCCCCTTTTCGACGAGATGGTGGAGTCTGAAGCCGCGTTCTGGAAGATTACTTGCTCCACTCCATCTGGCGTCCCGGAGTGGCAGAACGATCCGCGTGTCACTGTGATTGGAGATGCCGCGCATTCGATGACACCTGCGGGCGGGATTGGCGCAAACACGGCTGTGAGGGATTCTGCCTTGCTTGGGAGACTGATAACTGAAGCGGGTGGGTATAAAAACGGTGTGACCGCAGCCTATGAGAAAGAGATGAGGGTATATGGGAGTGAGGCCGTGAAGACAAGTTATCGCATTGCGCATGGCAATATGGGTATTTCAATCGACGAGAATTCAAAAACAGTCTAAAGTGAAAGGATACTACAAGTCAGAGTATTTAGTTTCAAAGGTTCAAACGAGAAATGACAGAAGTCTTCTTTATCTAACCCCATTTCCATTGCTTCTCCATCCATAATCCCGTGCACGTATGTCTCACCCGCAAGTTCGAACCACTTCTCAGGCGCCTTCCTCAACACAAACGGAACCATCGCTCCAAATATCATGCACATCATATCGCCGGGAACCGCATATTCTGGTGCCAATCCAATATATCCCTTTTTTTTGATGAAATGAACGGCCGAAAGTTGTGAAGACACTGCTGCGGGAGATAGTGGCTCCCCCAAGCCGTATCTTTGACTTCGTCAGTATAGGCAGATATCTCGCCTTTGTTTCTGGCAAGTATTCCAGTAGTCCTTCAAGCTGCGCTCGGTGGCGTGTATATGCGTGCCACTGCTGATCGGCGCAGGAAGATCACCAAACCCCCTCAGCTCAGAAGTGTGACACTGGGCATGGAAAATATTGTGCTCGGCTCCAGAAATTTGCAATTTGGCTGAATAACAAGCTCATCGATGCCGTCTCTTCGTCTTCGTCTTTCCAGGGGTGCTCAGTCCCTCGAAAGTTTCCACACTGAGCCTGACAAAGTTAACAACCCTGAGTTTGTAACATCTTTTCCATTCGAAATTTTAACTTTGCTGGATGGCCCCGAAGCACTGAATAGAGACTTCCAGGGAGGCGCTCTGCACTTGTACGAGAATGGGAGTTCTAGATGAGGCGCGCTGAAATCCGGAACCTCGGAGGGCAGGCCGGAACTAGTCTTCGGAAATCGATACTATGAGAGAACATTGGTCACGTCGTGTCGAAATAAAGTCTTTGCAATTTCTGTGAATACTTCATGAACTCCCTTCGCATAGTTCATCTTAATCGCAAGTTGAGATGTGTCTGGTACAAGCCGTAGAAGCAACCAAGAATGATAACCTGTCGCTGTTTCTGGTATCTGATTCGTGATCCAATGAGGTAGTTCGGAGCGCCACTCGCACTATTTTGGACGAAATCTTAGAAGTCTTTCCTGTTTGCTTCCCACATCAGCTCTTGTATGTCGTCAAAACCTAAAGTGAAACCCAGCGCCGAGTTCAGGGGACTAGAGCTGCGTTGAGCTAGGAGCGACAATGAGAGCACTGGCAACGGAAAATTCTTGTGTAATCCAGGTTCAATTCCATTAGCCCCTTTCTGGCTCGGCTTCGATACCTGACGCATCGAACCAGTATCGATACGTGTCGATAACGAATCGAGACTCCCCTCTAAATTTTTTTTTTTTTGTTATTTTCCTTATTTCTTAATTTTTATAAGTTATAAACCTAGTATAAAATAAGTACTCTTAAGTGAATAAATCTTTACTCGTATTTAGCTCGTATTCGTTAAGAATCCGAGGCCAGGATTCTCGGTAGAGGCCTTGGACCCTTGCTGAGAATCGATTCCTTATCGATAGCACTGATAATTAACCTTACGATTCTGGTATCGATACCGTATCGATACCGGAAATTAGGTATTGTAGCCGAGCTTGGCCCCTTTCCGAGACCGACTTTATCGCTACCAGTGGAAAATCGAGTCCGATGCCTTTAGAAAGGTCCTGGAACGGCCGCCTCACGCTTTCAGGCAGGGCATAACTTCCCGACTAAGGTTCACCATCCCCGCCTTGATGACAGCTTCCCCAATTCGCTCAAGAACATCCACTGCAACATCACTGTCGTCGCCGGAAGGTCCAAGCCATGCAAAGACCGATGTTGCAGCTTTGTATATATCAGTCATTTGCTTGACTTGACTGCTCTTGTCAAAGTCGTCATTCTGATTGATACAGACTGCAGTAATCCATTAGAGAGAAGAGTGCAGGTCACCCCGCCGGATCCTCGGGATCGCTAAGATCTTTGGTGGGCTGTGATTAGCCGTGGCCAAGCATCCCCGAAATAATTATGAACTCTCGCCAATTTTTGTCTTCCAGAATATAAATCACCTAAAAGATAACATTATAAGCAGCGAAATCCATAATCGTAGGAAATATCACAGATATCAAATTTATTTAAATTTCAAACTCAGTGTTTCACTTGGGAAATCCGAGGGGGTTTGCTTACAAATCACCCACGGTCATGCACAAATCGGAATGGATGATTGTCATGGCGCTAAATCAGGCAGCAGCAGCCTTACTTTCAAAATTGTAGACTTTATGAAAATGAACATATTTATTCGATTGCCTTCAATATTAATCGCTGTTTATAGAACTGAAAATGCCCCTCTGCGCGACATGTGATAGTGTGGACGTTCTTAATCTCCTTCTTATCTGCCTTTCGCAATGTCGAGACAAACAGGAAGCTCTGTCCGACGGCGAGACTTATGATAACAGACTCAAAAACTATGAGGGATCCGAAGTTAAGCACCACGGCGACATTTTCGAGGTTGAGAAATCAAGCAAAGACTGTGATCTTTGCGAAGCCATATTTCAAGCCTTTAAGAGAACCAATGTTCAAGATGCAGAAGTTGCAAGAGGGTTGCAGATTATCTTTCGTGCATCCTGCAACAAAATTGAAGTATGTTATAATACGGATGCCAAGGAAGGATTGATTAAACTATGCGGCCTTGATGTGTATATGGATGAGCCCGATGGCGAGTATTACCTCTAATAATTGTGTAATGGAACTCATTTTTCTCTGCAGTCGAAAAACTTTTCCGGGTAGGCCAAATAAAAGAGGACAAGTCGCCTCCTCTTTTGAAGATAATGGAGAAGGACCCAGGCTCCGGAAGATCATTTGAAATTGCTTCCCGCTGGTTGAAAAACTGTGTTGAGAGCCATTCCTCTTGCAGGCCTCCTACAGAGCTCCAGAAACCGCCCAGACGCCTGATTCACGTCGGCAATGAAACTCAGAATCCCTTTCTGGTAGAAACCTTCCCTGATCTCCAACACGTGGAATGGCTTTCGCTAAGCTACTGCTGGGGAGGAGAGCCTTCGTTGAAACTCACCGATGACACTATGAATGATTTGAAGAATGGAATCCCTTTGGCCAAATTCGATGCTACGATTCAAGACGCGGTATTAGTCACTCGAGCTTTGGGAATCTCGTACATTTGGATTGATGCACTTTGCATCATCCAGGGTGGTAGCGAGTGGAGCGAAGAGGCTTCCAAGATGAATGAAATCTATGGAGGATCAACAGTGACTCTTGTCATTGCCAGTTCATGTTCTGTAAAGAAAGGATTCCTGAAGGAACGCGACCTCAACTACATTCCTGTTGCATATCCCATCGATCTAGCGGAAGACCATAGAGCAAAAATATTCTTATCACCAGAATGGGACGATAGTAAACGCGAATATAACGGGCCCTGGAGTAACCGGGGATGGACGATGCAAGAAGGATTACTCCCCAATCGTTTACTGCACTACACATCTTCTCAAGTTATTTGGAAATGCTGTGAGGAACAGAGATTCGAAAGGGGTGTAACAGAACGTGTCGAAGACAGAATATCTGAAACCTTGACCTACTCTGATTATGACGACATAGCATTTGGATCTGGATTTCTCTGGCAATTACCGGCATTCCTGAAATTCAAAAGATTTAAATCCCATTTACCCATCAGCTTGGATTATCCATTGATGTCACACTCAGACACATTTCGTTTGTGGTACGACCTAGTCGAGGATTTTACCCCGAGAAGGTTTACAGAGATCAGCGATCGTCTCGTGGCCATCTCAGGCCTGGCTAGAATGTATGGCGACATGATTCGAAACCCTACATATGTGGCTGGACTGTGGAAAGAGGACCTCATTCGGGGGCTTTTATGGCATGTTGAAGGCACAACGCTCATTCCTAAGCGTTCTGCAAACGATATTCTAGATTTTCGTAAGAATTTTCCGGATTTCCCATCCTGGAGCTGGGCCAGTGTTGGATATGAGGTTGTTAAAAATGACTTGAAGACTGATAATAGTCTCGGTGCTTTGTCAGAAATCGAGAGCATACAGATCGGTCGTGTTGACCCATGGGATCCCTTTGGTGCTGTGAAAAGTGGCAGTGTCACTATTACTGGCCCTTTGAGGAGACTGCCAAGGCTTTATAACAAGGAATGGGTCTCGGCAGAAGCATCGATGTCAAAACTTGAGCGCCATATTTCTGAAATCGTCGAGAAGGAAAGCCAAGAAAGTATTGCACAAAGATACTCTTCTCCACCCGGAGGTCACTTTAGTGTCCTGCGGATGCTTGGATGCACAGGTTTGCTGTATCTACTTGTGTTGGAAGCCAATGGTAGAATTCTAAATGGCATCAATGTATATCGTCGATGCGGGATACTCAAACTCTGGTATATTGATCCTTCAAGTTACGCATCGCCGGAGCTTATTGCTACATTGAAGAACATGGAAACTTCAATTACTGCGCAGCTCGGTCTGCATAAGGAGACAAGCAAGACGCAAAAGATTCCTAGCGCTGTATTTATGGAGGTAGAGAGAGAGAACTGGGTGAAGGAAACAGTGATAATAGTCTAAAAGAGAGCTGAATCTCTATCTCACTAATCCGTGGCATTGGTTATGAACTTTCGCAGTTTTATAAGAAAGTCACTGAGTAGAATGAGGCTAGTTAGGTGCTACTAAAGCCCCACTATCACCATCATTAAATGTATTGTCTTTAAGATCTCAAATATTCTTTGAAGAGATTCAAAGCCCGGTAACGAGTTTACCCCGACACAACTGCTTGCCAGTGAGCAACACCATTACGCCACTTATTCGAGGTTGATGATGAGAGAAGATTTGGTAGCGAAAGAAGACTTGATGGCGGAAAAGAACTCAACAACAGGAGATTCGACTACAACAAAACACCCAATCCCACTTAGAGCCAGCTATCCATAGCAACACCTGCATCTACATGGCCGACAACTCATCATTCCAAAAGAGGCTACGGATACAACTTCCCCGGGTAAAGAAGAAAGTCGCTCCTCATTGAGGATTTTAATTTCTCATCCATCCCCTCCGTGATTACAAAGACGTGATTGCGAAGTAGTGAATTTGTTCTGATACCCCCCGTTCGTCAATACGAGCGATTGATCAATCGCCCTCCCGATTGATCAATCGTAGCGCCCGATTAATCAATGGGGGGGGGGGGATTACGATTCGGGCTCCACAGTGGGTCCCGATTAATTAATCGGGACCCCGATTGCCCAATCGGGTAATATTGAGGTTTCGGGAATGGCAAAAGCAGTATATATTAGTATACTTCACCCAAATCAAGCTTTATTATACATGCCTCCCACTTCGTCTAGGTGCTTTTATAGCTACCCTAGCCCTTTTTGGTACCCTTATACCTACTTATTCACCTGATTCCCCTTCTCTAGCTTTATCCTCATGTGCTTGCTCAATAGCTGCTCTCTTCTTTGCTCTCTCAGATACCCTTCTAGCCTTCTGAACTAACGAAATTAAACCCCGATTATTCTCCTTTACCACTGCTTTGGGAAGGGTAATTTTGTCTTTCTTATAGGCCGCACCAGTAATAGGCAAATCAGGATAAGTTAATTATAAAGCAACTTTATTAATAGTATTATACGGCCAGAGGATTATAAGCTTACTATACTTAATAGTTAACCGGTAGCCCTGTTTTTAATTAGCTTTAGCCAAAAGTATATTCTTATAAGTTATATACCTTTAAAGTCTTTTCCAGAACTCTTACTAGAATCCGAGCTATTTCTATACTAAATTAATATTGCTTTGGGATCTATAGGGTTATAATCTCCTAAATATTATATTCAAGAGCTTTAGTACTAGCTCTCTTTACTATCTTCTCTTACTATTTCTTTATATACTTTATAATCCTCTTAGTTAGTTTAGACAAAATTATCTCCTCTATTACTTTCTCTTATTCTGCTTCCTTATTAATAAATAAGCTATTCTCTCTATTCTTTTCTTCTTCTTAAACCTTAATAGTAGATAATTATTCAGAAGTACTACTCTTATTAATATTAATTTCTCTCTCTCCTAAGGCTATATGTATATATATGAGGCATGTAATAGCAGGGTAATATACAAGTAGTCAAGGTAAATAAGCTGCAGAGTGACGCTTGCAAGTATAACTGATTCCAAGAATTAATTCCAACAAAAGACTAATTAATGCCCCTTTCCAAAGCTAGAAGTATCTCTCTATATGTTCCCTAGTACTTAGCCAAGCCTGCGAAGCACTTTACTTAACTAGGAAATACGATTCTATACGATCCGTACGATTCCGATTACCCGTATAATTCCGATTACAAGCTTTACCTAAAATAGGAAACTAGATCTATAATATCTGATACCTATCCATATGCCATTACATATATCCATTACATTAACTTCCCCTCTGGGCCCTTATCCCCAAGAGGCCTGAGAGAACTGCGAATAGCTTTACAAATAATCTCCTGAAACTTTTCCGGCTATTAGTCCTCCCCAAAGACTCCCTATAATTACCCTATTATTATGCCAGGTAATGGATTTGAGAATACAGTTCACTAACCCTGCCCAGCTAACCCGCAAATTGCCTCTGGCAATTCCCTCTTATAAAGGTAGTACGGGTATAGTATATACTATTAGGCAGGAAGCTCTTCCGGTCTTCTAATTAGTTCGTAAATCCTAACTCAGCCTCTATTTGCAAATAAATTATTACTCTATAGGCCTAAGAGCTTGGAAAAGTTAATCCGATCTTCTAGTTCGTTTATAAATCCCTTCTTTAGAATTTTCTGGATATTCCTGGTATAGAGCCAGTTCCAAATTCGTAATTACTATTTGGAAAGAGAATATTATAAAAAGGCCTCTTTTTTCCTACTAACCAACTTTCCTTTCCTCAACCATAATACCATATCTAGCTTCTCCTCGTCCCTTACCTTCCTTCTTTAAGCCTTCTTTAAGCTTCTTTAAGCTCCTTTAAGCCTTCTTTAAGCTTCTTTAAGCTCCTTTAAGCTTTATTTAAGCTTCATTTAAGCTTTATTCAAGTTCCCTTCTAATTCCCTCTTCTACTTCTTTATCTATTAAGATAAATACTTCTTTTAGTACTTATTAGCCTATTACTACCCGTTTAGCCAATATTCCCATATTCTTAATTCGCCTTTACTATCTTTAATATTCTAAGAATATTACCAAGTTTCCTAACCTTATTTATATTAAGAGTAATAATTACTTAATATATAATTACTATTACTTCAAGAATAAGAAATATAATTCTATAAGTTATAATTTCCTTTATTTATTTCCTATTCTAATACTATTTAAGGTTTCTTAAATATATATAATATAATTAAACTACCTTCTTTAAGCTATTAATATATATAAGTATTTTCCTTATCTTTTACTTAAAAGAAAAAAGGCTATTACTATTCTTCTTTTATATTAAATAATATATACTTCTTATATTAAAGCTATTATTTAAGGCTAATAGATTCTTCTAATAATTTAAGAAATAGGTCAAGTAATTCTTACTAGCTTAATATAAGTATAAAATATTCTTAATAGTATAGTTAATATTTTTCGGTATTAAATAAGCTTATTTCTTTCTCATTTCTTATTAATAGCTAATAGCTTTATAGACTAATTTACTATCTATTTCTTAAGAGAATCCTAATAAGAATAATAATAAGGATAATAGAGAATAGTTATAAAAATAAAGTATTTATAGAATATAGAAATTGAAGTTTTTGGAATTCTTAATAATTTTTATATAGTTTTTCTAAAAATAAATATATGGTTTTTAATAGTTTTCTAATAAAAGCATTTATTTTTTATATCTCTATTTAGCTAATAGTATTATAATATTACTTTTTTTCAAGTATTCTTATAATTCTTGAACTATATTCTCTAGATTATTTAGTAGTTTCTATATATTATTTACTAGTAAATAGCTCTTTTAATAAACGAGATACTCTTTTTCTTTTCTGCCCTTCCTATAGGCTATAATAGATTCTATTTTGAATTCTTTTTTACTTTTAATTTTAACTAGTTCTGGTTCTACTATAATACTAGCTTATAAATATTATAGTTCTAAGAGGGAAATATAGAAAATATTATAGATCTAATATAATAGTAGTAATTCTAAATAATATATCTATTTATATATTTCTATAATTTTTAGAACTTTAAAGGAACCAAAATATTTATTTACTAGCTTTATACTAGATTATAGCTATTAAATATTCTTTATATAAAATATAACTTTATTATATATATTAAATTCCTTATTAATATATTTCTTATTATAGTACTTTTTCTATATATTTATTACTTCTTATTATTACTTCTCTAGTACCTCCCGTTCTATTTAAATTCTTTATATTTTTTCCTATATTACTAGTATTTCTTTTTTTGGAATATTATCCTTAATATATAGTTTAATACTAGAATAAAATCCGTATAATATATAGAATAAAGAAATTCCTATTATTAAATATATAGAATTATTATATATGAATTCTATAAAAGCAAGCTTTATTACCTAATTATCTTACTAGTAGCTAATATAGTACCTTAAGTACTATTCTAGAGTTTAGTTCAGATTCTTTATTTATCTATTAGTTTATAGATAGAATACTATACTTAGCTATTATTAAACCTTTAAATAGAAATATAGACTTAACTAGAACTTATTTATAAAAACAGATTCTTTATTAGAGATTATATTTGCAGGTATACTAAAGTCTTTAATAATATAATATATAAATAGTTTTATTAATTCAGGAGCCGAGATTTCTTTAGTAATTGGAATATATTATACTATTTTCATATATCTATTAATAATAATAAATATAGAATTATATATTTTATTATAAAACCTAGAAAGAAATAGCCCTATAATAAAATCTATAGTAATTTCTTACTATAGCTTAGAAAAGAAGGGAAATAAACTAAATATACTATATAGTAGATATCTCTTTACTTTAGTTTATTAATATATAAGGCAAGTTCTAATATAGTTTTTTATATTCTTTTTTATATTTTACTAGAAGTATTTCTTCTAAAGAATCTCTAGTATTTTACTAGTATTAAAATACCTACCTATAGAATTATTATAGTTAGCTTATAATAATTCTTCTTTAAAAGCTGGCTTATTTAGTATATAGATAGTACCCTAATATCTTAATAACCCAGATATATTAAGTTTCCAAGTTTTAATAGCTCTAATAGAGGTTTTCTTTAAGAACTATTTATACTACCGGTATTATACTAATAAATCAAGCCTTTAGTACTATAATAGTAGTTTAAGTAGTATTTCTCTATTTTCCTTATATACTATTTCGGACCTAGCTACTTATATAGCTAGAATCCGTAGTATATACTATTTATAACTAGCTATACTAGTAATAGACTCAAGTAATAGTATTTCCGGTATTATTCTATTACTAAAATAGATTTCCTTTTCGGAATTCCTTAGTATCTTACTAATTAAAGAGTATCTATTTCCTTTCTCCTGGGCCTTAAATTATAATATTATAGGAATAGTATAATATTCTATTACTACTACTTATAGGGCTTTCTATTTTGTATTTTATAGCTTATTATAAAATATAAATAGTAAAGTATCTTTATCTATATCTACTATAAAGTCTAGCCTTCTTAATAGCCTATTAGCAGGGTTACTATATCCCGGCCA